CTGCTTTAACAAAAAAATATCAAATAATAAATCAAAATCAATCCACCACGCCCAATACATCACACAATCAACATCCCATCACACAAAAATCACACTTATTCATCACACATTAAATCTATACTAACGTCTAGCGAGGGGTAAGAGAAATTGCTTGTAATTTGTTGAACAATTAGCTCAGTTTTTGTTCCAAGTGGCGTATACTATGCACCTGAGACAAGAACAGAGATCTGAGTGCGAGCACTCGAAGGGCAGTTGCTAAGATCCCGCTTTCTTTGCTCTCCTTCCCTGCAGCATGATGACCAAGTACCCCACATCCCGGAAGCGCTTCGGCCGGCAGTTCAAACAGCGCTACTTCCGCCTCACCACCCACTCGCTCAGCTACGCCAAGTCGAAGGGCAAACAACCCATCTGTGATATACCGCTCCAGGAGATCGCCAGCGTGGAGCAGCTGAAGGACAAGAGCTTCAAGATGCAGAACTGCTTTAAGGTGAGCATTCGATGTGCTTCGATTTGAATTGGGGGGCTGGTATGCCCCATGCGCCTCTGGTTGCAGCGAATAATGCACACGAGCAGTGTGCCGGAAACGCGCGATCCACGCCACCTCTATAAATAGGCAGCCAAAGCCCACACACCTCCGGGCAGTGATGAGAGTTTAGCTGCTTTTACAGGCCACCTGGTTGGTTGCAAACTTTGAGGTGGTGTCATTTTGGTTACACGAGGGAAATCTCAGTACTTTTTTGACGAGTTTTTCATATTTAATTAATTAATAATCATCTTTAAATCATCTTTAAATTGTTTCAAAGTAGGCCACCACTGCCTCCGTCTCATGGCTAAGATATTTGGCTGTGTGGGCGTGTATCTGTGGCTCCTAATCGATGGCAGCAGCAGGCCCATCCAGTGCCATAGTGAAAACCGAATCTCAGTTGCCCGATAAACTTTCACTAATCACTCACTCTGCCCGAGTTTTGTGTGGAAAATGACAAGTTGCGGCAATTAAAAATAATTTGCATTATTATGCAGATGAGCTGGCGGAGGCTCGCTTTGCGTACGCTATTGTTATTGCCATTCGAGGTAGTAAGACAAAAAGGGAAATTCCAAAACCTAGAAAAATCTGCAGCCGACGCAGAAGAGAATCGTCATCGTGGGTGCGATTTCTTGGCGTTACGTTTGTTTTTTTTTATATCTCAGTCAAGATGTGGGAATTGTCTCAGCCAGCGATTTCACTTGGGCGCGATTGTTTTGCAATTGCGGCGCGCACAGAATTTATGTTAATTGCACAAAGATGAGACTAAGATTTACTTTCGCCTCTTCTCCCACAGATTGTGCACAACGATCGCTCGCTGATTGTGCAAACAACGAACTGCGTGGAGGAACGCGAGTGGTTCGACCTGCTGCACAAGATCTGTCTGATGAACTCCATCCGGATGCAGTACTTCCATCCCTCGGCCTTTGTCAGTGGCTTCTACAGCTGCTGCGGCCGCTCGGATGAGAATTCCCCTGGCTGCAAGAACGTGTCGGACAAGGAGATGGACTACTTCCAGATGGATTTGGTAACGGCCCTGGATCCACCGCTCGATCTGCAGCGCATCCACACGCTGATCATGTCGAACATGAGTGTGCTGGATTCTCTGTTAGATCCGCTCACCTACCACCAGCATCTGCCGCAGACGCAACACCAGCAGCACAACCCTTTGGTGCCGCTGGCCACGGATTTGCAAAAACATTCACCACAGGCCTTCGCGGAGTTCAAGCGAACGATTGAGAAACTGAGAGAGAAGGCGTTCGCCATCGATCGGGATCATCGGGACTACAAGCAGGGCATAACGCGACAACTGAAGTACGGCAGCAGACAGGCTCCGATCGGCGATGACAACTATTGGCACATGATGCGAGCCGCCGGCCAGCTGAATCAGCAGCATCATCAACAGCAGCAACACCAACAGCAGCAGCAGCAGCAGCAACTCCAGCAGTTCCAGCCGCAGCCTGTGCTGCCGCAAATGCAGAATGTTCGGGCGTATCCCTATCAGCCAGCCACGAGCAATATGAACGCCTACTATCTCCACAACTTGCAGCACCAGCAGCAGAGGTTGCAATTCCAACAGCAGCAGCAACATCAGCAGCAACCGCTACAGCAGCAACAGTCGCAATTTCAGCCGCTGCGCAGCCACCAATTGCAGCGTCACAATAATAACTTGAACAACAACAACTGCGGCAATGCCTCTTCCTCCAGCCCATCGTCCACAACCTCTAGTGTGGTGGCTGCACCGCCCAGTACCACCTCATCATCGCAGCCAGCTCCGCCGATTTATTAGCGTCCAAGGCTGTGCGTATTCGCCTTGCCGCGGGCCATCATCACGACCAGGTAAGGGAGTACGCATTATCATGGCAGCTTGGATATCTTGGATACTGAGGAGAAGCCCCCAACCAGGGGATGCTGCTGTACAAACCGTTTTAAGTGCTAGCTTTGTGTTTTTTTGTATGATATTTATGTTTTTAAGAATCTAACGTTGTGAAGGTCTAGACTAAGTTTATCAATTAACAGATTTTTGTACACCAGATATTTTCGGTACCGCCAGCAACAAGGTAAAATAAAAAAGGAAACGAAATCTAAAATATTTATATTTATAAGTAATAAGCCTATTTATTTTTTGTATGCGCTAACATTATTTATATACGCAAACAAAACACCCAATACGGAAGAGCATTTCTACTCTTGTGTGAGAGAGCGCAAAGAAGGCAGAGAACCACTAAAAACTGATAACTTTATAAGCCTAATCTACTAAAAACTTAACAATTGCTAAGATTTTATAAAGCCTAGCCTAGGTTATTTACCGGCGCTAGTTGAGTACCGAAATAAAACAATGTAAATAGAAAATGCACGCGTATATATTTCTCTATATGTGCATGTGTAATAATTACTACATTATACCAGTTATTTTAGGAGTAGCGAAAATTTCTAAAAATTACCCAATCTAGCCGTGTTGCCCACAGGCGGCACAGACAAAAAACAAATAATTCTAAAAAATGTGAACGCTATATACAAAAAACAAAAACTGCGAAAAGCAACAAAAAACATACATCTACAATGTATATTTCTTTTTATAACTGTCATACAGCTAATGTTAAACACACGATATGTATTCGGCAAATTGTAGAATACAAACAAAAATTATTGTTAAGCACAAATTTACTTCCATTTTCCATATACACACACATACATATATGCATTGAACACGCACACGAATATTTATTAAATGCATTTAATTTCATGTTAAACTTAAACGAAAAACAAGTAAATTGTTAACAATTTGGTTAGCTTCGACTTACTTCCACCGATTTGTTTCCAAAGCTCTTCCAATATTAATTACACATCTAGAAACTATGTTAAATAATCTTATTTTTGCCATATTTAGTTCATTGTTCATCGATCGCATAAAAAAGTGTCTTCCTCCGCCGCGTTTAATCATATAGCCTTTTGTTTATGCATTCCAATATTTTGTGCATTTCTTAATTATAATATCTGCATGATGTACATAGAGATACGAAACGGAGAAAGACGACGAGATGTTGCTATGAATTTAATTTCTTTGGTTCATTTTCACTTTTAGTTGCATTTTAAAAACTTAACTTTAGTTTAACTTTACCACGCCTAGCTAATAAGTTGTTGGTACAAAGAATAGAAAATATACACATCTAGATATATTTTCTAGCGAAAAATAAAGCGTATCGCCAATGGATATTTTTATTTTGTTTTATTTTGGTTTGGCTATCGTTTATCTTATCCCCTCCCAGTATAGTACCTCATTCTCGTGCTTTAGGAATATCTGGTATACTGTTGTGATATCTTACGATATGGTAATTGAATTGGTCGTGTGCGTTAGTTGATTGATATTGATGCGTATTTGCGATACATTTATAGTGAGTTAAAGCTGTTGAATATTTTTATTCGTATTGTGACAATTATTCGATAAGCAATTTTATTCCAAAAAAATGAAAAGGTAAAACTATTCGACGAGTAACCTACTTTTATTTTTACCCAGCAAAATGCTAACTAAATTATTCTCACAAGTCTCAAGAAAAATTTCTGTGTTGGTTTCAAATGGAACAGAAAACGAAAAAGATCCCCTATTTTTTGTAAAAAAAAATAAATTAAATCGACTTTTATGTATAAATAAATAAATAGTTGCATATATTTGACTGCGTTTTATGTGGGTTGGGTGGGTTCTACAGGGTGTGTGGAATCCACAGCAGCAGCACCAACATCAACAGCAGCAATAGATGATGTTCAACAAGCAGCAAAATTTCCAACAGCGCTGATAAATGCAGCATTTTTTCTACCACTCCCACTACTCCTTAGCCTTCTAAGTATTTAATGACTTTAGCGCGTAACAAATAAAAGCAAGTAAAGTGTAATATATGTCCTCTAATTTGTTTATCCAGTTTGGCGTATCGTACTCCTTAGGATCGCAGCACAGGTACTTTGTCTAATGCGGTGGCGCCCCTATTAGTGCTGGTTTTGTTGTGACGGCCCCTGGCTGCCCGCTCAATATAAGATGGTCTAAATTAAAACAATCATTTTTTAGCCGACATGTTTAATAAGCTTTCAAACATAGAACTTTTTATTGTTGACAATTTTTAGTAAAATCAAAAATCATGGTTTTTTTTCCTGATCGATTTGCATTTAAACCTAAAACTTTTTATATATACAATAATTTTTTCAAAAAAATCATGGAAAATGTTAAAATTAGTCAAAGAATACATTTTCTAAAAAGCTATCGCAATGGAATTTTTCCCAAAACTTGGGTTTTCTATTGCAGGAGTACATGTGTCGGTTTAGACCATAATATCTTATGGCTCCTATAAACTATTTACACTATAGGCATTTATTTTACTTGCTTTACTTACTTAATAAAAAAAATCAACAAAGGAAGATTCCTTAGTTTATTTTTTTTTATTTAGTAATTTACAAACAGGCTAGCTAGCTAAAACGGCCAGATCTAGCGTGTAAATGGCTTTGTTTCCATCTCTGGTGAGCTGTTTGTTATCGTTTATCGGCGGACAGCTGACTGGCGGCATCCGAGTTTATAAACAATTTCGGAATTTTGCAGTTTGCAAACCTCTTATGAAAAATGGACTACGACTTCAAGATGAAAACGCAGATTGAGCGCACAAAGGTGGAGGACTTGTTCAACTACGAGGGCTGCAAGGTGGGGCGCGGAACCTACGGCCACGTCTACAAGGCCAAGTGGAAGGAGACGAGGTGAGCTGGTCATCTACGAAGTCCCATGAATACTTACAAATATAATTTCTATGCCACAGCGATGGCAAGGAGTATGCCCTGAAACAGATCGACGGCACTGGCTTGTCCATGTCCGCCTGCCGCGAGATAGCACTGCTGCGCGAACTGAAGCACCAGAACGTGATAACCCTCATCCGGGTGTTCCTGTCGCACAACGACCGCAAGGTGTTCCTGCTGATCGACTACGCGGAGCACGACCTGTGGCACATAATCAAGTTCCATCGGGCGGCCAAGGCCACCAAGAAGCAGGTGGTCGTTCCCCGGGGCATGGTGAAGAGCCTGCTGTACCAGATCCTGGATGGGATTCACTATCTGCACAGTAACTGGGTGTTGCATCGCGATCTGAAGCCCGCCAACATCCTTGTGATGGGCGATGGCAACGAGAGGGGACGCGTAAAGATCGCCGACATGGGTTTCGCCCGACTCTTCAATGCCCCGCTGAAACCTCTGGCGGACCTGGATCCGGTGGTGGTCACCTTTTGGTATCGTGCCCCAGAACTGCTGCTCGGAGCTCGTCACTACACCAAGGCCATCGACATCTGGGCTATTGGCTGCATTTTCGCCGAGCTACTCACCTCGGAGCCCATCTTTCACTGCCGCCAGGAGGACATCAAGACCAGCAATCCGTATCACCACGATCAACTGGACCGCATCTTCAACGTGATGGGCTTTCCGCAGGACAAGGACTGGGAGGATATCAAGAAGATGCCGGAACATCACACGCTGACCAAGGACTTCAAGCGCTCCACCTACTCCACCTGCTCGCTGGCCAAATACATGGAAAGGCACAAGATCAAGCCAGACAGCAAGGCCTTCCACCTGCTGCAGAAACTGCTGCTGATGGACCCCAACAAGCGCATCACCTCCGAGCAGGCAATGCAGGATCAGTACTTCCAGGAGGATCCGCAGCCCACGCAGGACGTGTTCGCCGGCTGCCCCATACCGTATCCCAAGCGCGAGTTCCTTACCGACGACGACCAGGAGGACAAGACGGACAACAAGCGCCAGCAGCAGCAGCAGCAGCAACAACAGCAACAGCAGCAGCAACAACAGCAGCAGCAAATGAATGCCGAACCGAATGCCAAGAGAGTCAGATTGTCCGGAGCTGGCAACCAGCAAGACTTCCACCACCAGCAGCAGCAGGCGCAGCAGCAGCAACAACAGCAACAGCAGCAACAGATGATGTTCAGCCAGCAGCAAAATTTCCAACAGCGCTTCAACTGAGAGACTGATAAATGCTGCATTTTTTCTACCACTCCCACTACTCCTTAGCCTTCTAAGTATTTAATGACTTTAGCGCGTAACAAATACAAGCAAGTAAAGTGTAACATATGTCCTTTTATTTGTTTATCCAGTTTGGCGTATCGTACTCCTTAGGATCGCAGCACAGGTACTTTGATCTAAATTAAAACAATCATTTTTTAGCCGACATGTTTAATAAGCATTCAAACATAGAACTTTTTATTGTGGACAATATTTCGCAAAAAATCATAAATCATAAAATCGTCATAAATCGTGTTTTTTTCCTGATCGATTTGCATTTAAACCTAAAACTTTTTATATATACAATAATTTTAAAAAAAAAAAATCATGGAAAATGTTAAAATTAGTCAAAAAATACATTTTCTAAATAGGGAAATCTTTTAGTTTATGTTGCTGGCTGCCTAAAACAGTCTGACTTTTAGATGTGGGCCTTGAATTCGCAAAATAACGATAAAAAACTCGCCATCTTCAGTCGTATATTAATATTTTGGAATTGATTAACAAAGTATAAGGTATCTGACGGGCTTGACTTGATTTTTCCATTACTAATTTGTCCAACCATAACGGATTTTTAAAATTCTGTTTTTTTTGCATCTCTAGTTTAGAAGGTTTCGGTGCTTTGAACATAATTATAATTTGCTCGGCACATATAAAAAATACGTAATTTTAAATTCAAAATGGGGCTGCCAATCGGTTTTGTACACCACTTGCATCGTAAAATTTGGTTTTTGTCTTCGCTGTCTTTCGGTTGTGTGAAATATATATCGATATATGTGCGATAGCAGCTATGAGGATGGGATATATCGAAGAAGTGTCACTCTCTAGCGATCTTTGAAAGTCTTTCATTTTTCAATCGTGCTGTCGCACGCATCATCTCTTTCAATGATAGTGAACACGTGTTAAATAAAATGATACGCACTCAGCCACACGTGGAGGGTGCCTATGTTTTATGTTTTATTTTTTAATAACCTTATTCCTATTAATTAAATCATAAAAAGATTTTAAAAAATAATTTAAAAGGAATAAAGCAATACCCACTCATGCCTGCGCCCTCTCGGCTCTGGAAAACCCAGAGCTCTGGTACAAATAAAAAACACAAAAAAAAACACACAATGAACGTGCACGAATGACGTTTTGAAACCTCTGCAGAGCAAATTCTCGTGAGAGACGAAAACCGCGGCTATGTGATCGATGGTTACTGTATCCCGTACTTTATTATATACTTGGTCTAGGAATAATGAATATTCGAAGATATACGAAATTCTTGACTTTATTACTCACCGAAAAGGTGAGGCAGGCCTCACCGGTTAGGACCCTCCCGATCAGAGTCAGTGAGAGCCGCCATTACGGCGGCCAGCCTCTCCTCCACTCTTCGAAAACCTGAGCGAAAATCTCGAATAAATTCGAGGGGGGGGGTCGGTCGGGTCCCACCGTAGATATACCCACCTGGGCAGTCTCAAGTTACGCGCCGGTGCTGGGTCCACCGGCCCGGCAGGCCTCACCCGTTAGGACCCTCCCGATCAGAGTCATCGAAAAGGGCCATTACGGCGCGCAGCCTGGCCAGCCCCTGACTCTGCCCCCCCCTCCACTCTTCGAAAAGCTGTTCGAAAATCTCGAATAAATTCGAAGGGGGGGTCGGTCGCGTCCCACCGGAGATATACCCACCTGGGCAGTCTTAAATTATACGCCGGTGCTGGGTCCACCGGCCCGGCTGGGGCCGCCGGAGCGTCCCCAGCCTCCGGCGCGTCCCCAGCCTCCGGCGCGTCCCCAGCCCCCGGCGCGTCGTCATTTTCCGGCGCAGCCTCCACCGGCCGGGCAGGGGTCCTTAGCCTAAAATAATACAAATAAAAATAATAATATCAATAAATAAACAAGAAGGCCATCCGAAGCTTATATACACTTTCAGATCATTATACCCGGACCAGGAGGCTGCTGCTGCAGATTCCTGCAATGCTTGCTTTTGCTGGCGCTGAGGCGATGATTGGGTTATACACAATTGAGCAATAAAAAGTGCAACCCGTTTAATTTTAAAATGGAATGCCAAGTAAATCTAAGTTTAATGTTTTTGTAAGTTAATAGCTATGATCGCCAAGGGTATATAAGCTTCGGCTGGCCGAATCTTCCTTTCTTCCTAAATTAAATAAAACTAAAACTTACCTGAGCGGCATGGTGAATTAAACGACAAAAAAACGAGGAAAATATTGATTAAAAAAACGACAAAAATCTTACGACACAAAAACGCGCACAAACACTTTAAAGGTTCAATTCAATTTACTTGAACCAAGCTCGAGCGCTCCAGAGCGGAGCGGAGAGTTGGAGCGGGAGTTGGAGATAAAGAGAGCGGGGGTGCTTGCAAAATATCCGATCGACACTGCCTTTCAAAATTAATCGTCCTTTTGTTATATTCCAAAGTATCAACCAAATATTAACAAGAGAGAATGCTATAGTCGAGTGCCTCGACTATCAGATACCCGTTACTCATCTAAAGGAAGTGCAATTTAAATTGCATTTACAACAATTGCTAAGGCTCAGATGACACATTCAATTTTTAACGTCAATTTATTGTGGCAATTTTTCTTTATCGGGACTTTAAACGAGCGCGAGAAAGAATCAAATATTTTTGGCTGCTCTACCACTAACACCAATAATAAAGGCGTGATATCATATTAATCCTGACCCGCTTGCACTTCTTTAAACTCACACAAATGAAAAATTGTCACAATAAATAGACGCTAAAAATTTAATGTGTCATCTGAGCCTACGATTTTTTAAAGCTTAGCCCAAGTGAGGTACCGCAAAGATGAGTAGCGAAGTATATATTATTCCATTAAAATCAGTATGGCCTAGCATTTTGAAACCTGAAATATAGCTTAATTGGTTTGAGTCTGTGCTAAAATTCTGAGCAAGTTCTTCCCCATCTGGGGTATTCATTTTAGAGCATAGAAAAACATCGATATGCAATCGATGATTGAAAACAGCAACATCGATAAGAATAATTAATCGATACGGCCATCGTTTGCCAGCTCTAGTATTTGTAATTTGTTAGAATATTTTTACCGGATGCCATTTGTTTTGCGAAAGAAAGTAGGAATTAAGTTAATAGCAGTTGGCTAGTATTCCGCCAAGAGCCAAATTCGACGTTACCCAAATTGAGATCAACCCCGCCCGGCTGGCGACTCCCGAAGATTGAGGCGTAGATTGCACTCCAAATTGCAGTTGCAGTTGCAAAGTTAACAGGCGAAATAGACAAGTAAGTGGAACGTAGATGGAGGCGGAGGCGTCGGCTGGCCAACTGGGCGTTGCTGGCGGACTGCTGGCCATTCTGGCCACCACCCACTGGGTGGCACTGGCGACCCCGCCAAGGGCACGAGGTCTCGCCGCGACCTGTGCCATTATAATCTGGCGAACGTCGCGATTTCAGTGCCTCTTCGGCTACTGCCGCCGTGATTCACGATTGTCCAGCAGCAGCAGCAGCAGTAGCAGCAGCAGCAGCGACTCGCAAGCACCTGACGTAATTATGCGCGTGCACTGACCGCAACTAAATGAAATTCTGGTCTTCGCCCGCTCCTACAGGTAACGCAGATCCCCAGGATGCAAAACCAACCCAGCCCACAGCTGCCCTGCAAGGGCATCCTCAAGACGTCGCGCAGCTTCGACAAGTCGGGCGCCAGGTGAGGTCATCTAATAATAGCACGCCAGTTGGGAGCCCTTCTCACCTGCAATTCCCCGCTGATTCTCCCAAAACAGTTTTCGCAAAAGTGCCAAGTTCGATGAGCTGAACGTGATGCAGACCTTCCATCCGGCCGACAAGGACTACGGACATATGAAAATCGATGAGCCCAAAACGCCTTACAACTACACGGAGTCCTTCGGGGATAATAGGGACGAACTGGACACGGAGCTGCTCGTGGAGAAGTATGGGAGCCTTTCAAACTGTGTTTGCTTAGTGTTTTTCATTTGAGAATTGATGGGACTATTATACCTTAACCAGAAAATGCGTCTTTGGTGCGCAGTTCACAAGCATCTCAATTGAGAACGTAATTGTTTAATGTCCTATCATTTACTGATTAATTAATCATTGATAATGGCCTACTTACAGAATGTGAGGCAAATATTTCAATTCATATTTCGCAAATGTTAAAATTGAAGGACATTAATGAAAACACTATCATTTATTTTTTCCAACAATAGTTTAACTATTCCATTTCTTGCAGACTCCGCATAGCGGCCAACACACAACAGTCGACGGACAGCATCGAGGACGAGGGCTCCTCCGGCGACGACCAGCCGCTGAGCGAAGAGGAGCGACGTAAGTGCCATGAACCACTCAGATTGCAAACATATCTCATGTACTTGGGTTGCAGAACGACGGCGCGAATTCGAGCGACGTCGCAAGGCCCACTACCGCGAGTTCGAGGCCGTCAAGCTGGCACGGAAGCTGATCCAGGAGGAGGACGACGACGACGACGAGGACGGGGACAAGGGCGCGGACAGCCGGCCCTCGGGCTCGGCACAGGGCGCTTCCACCTCCGGCCGCTTTGCGAGCAGTTCGGCGAAAAAATCGAGCGCCAAAGCCGACTCACCCACATCCTCGTCCACCAGCGCCGGCCACAACAACATGGACCTGGAGCCATCGAACAACTAGAAGCAATATCAACCCATCAATCAATCACTAATGTTTACCTAGCGGACAATGGACGATTCTGAGGGCCGCTCATCCAAACAATGAACTAACGAAATTATATTATATCAAGTGCTGTGCGCGCGCGGAGTGAGAAGTGGATGCTGATTAGCAGAGTGGCGGGGAGCACTCATGATTAGTTGAATCAACCCCATCTAAACACGAAAAACAAACCGTCGCCAAGGAGGTTCGTCATCGAGTAGTGAACACAGCCGATAAGCCAATGCATTACTGGTTGCAAATTGATTTTACAACACAAACCGTGCAAATATAACTATCGTATGCTTCTCAGCCGTAGCGTACTGTTGCAAATGTAGTTAAACAAAAAAGTCTTTTAAATTGATATCAATATGGCCTCCCCTTTTCGGTCCAAGTTTCCCGTTCGCAGCATTTAATTTGATTGGATGCCCAGTGCCACATAAGGGATTACTTGTTGTAACTAGCGTTGAAGTTGATTTGGCCTTACGTTTAGTTATTTATTAATACGATACTATTATGATTACTATTAAGTTTTAGCCATCGAATGCGAACGTTTCAATAAAGAGAGCCCAGAACCCAATTGAAAACCTGCGGAAATAGTTCTTCTCGTCGCGAGTATTCAAAACTTGCCGTTTATTTAGTTTCTCATTTCATATTAGTTATACATCGTAGTGTAGTTGGGTATAGACATTGCTGGTCATAGTAATCGGTAAAGTCTGAGAGTTGTTCGGCTCGTTCTCGACCTCGTCCCGGCCACATCCCCGGTCCATCCGTCAAAATTCGGGCACTGAGTCCGCCGCTGCTCGTCCAGCAGGCAAAGGCATCCTCATATTATTGCCTGGGGTCAGCTGGCGAACTGGAATGCCGATCTTGAGCGGATGGTCGGGGCTAACTGGGCTTTTTGGGGGATCGAACGAGCTCGTTGATTTTAAATATCCTTGAATGGCATTTTGGGAACTCACAGATTTTTTTCGGCCTGATTGCCTCTTCTCTTGTATAACTTACTTAGCGGGATAATTGACGGTTTTTTATAATTTGCAGTTTAACAATGTCAAAGTAAATATATATATATGTGCATATAGTATAGATTTAAGCAAAAAGCATGCAAACTCAAACAGTAAACATTGAGAATCCTGTGCAGACTGCTCCAAAGGATTGGCCATTTGGTCCAAGAACCCATCATTATACAATTTACAATTAGTGGATGGTTCCGAAGAGTCCATCAAAGAGCCCATCGCCGCACAGGATCTCCGTTAAATAGAATATGCTCACAATAAATAGATTAGTAGTGCTCTTAGGTCTAAGACAAGGTTCAATCTCATTATCAGTTTCCGTCTTGGGTCGCATCGTTTCCATTTCATTAGCTAGTTAACAGTTTAACAATCATCTTATAATCTAACACTGCTCTGCTATCTTAGCCATACTATATGCACATGCTCCAAATATGTGTATATAGTATGGGTACATAGAGAATATCGTTATCCATCGCCCCGTTTGGGCATCCGGATCAGGGTTCCATTCCCACTAATCATCACCATCTTAATCATCTTCAATGGGTGCCTGCTGTTCGAAAATTCAGCAAGCATCCATTATTCAGAAAATTCCGATGATGACTCATGGGATGGAGTGACACCTGCTGTAGTATTGCATTCACCTATCATGGGTTCGTTTCGTAACATATGTATATATATGGCGTCGTTAGTGGTCAATTAAGATTAGTATAACAATTGTATATATCCTATATATTGTTTGGTTCGTTAGTGATTCGTTTTAGTAACATATACATGATCGTTTTCAGTATTATTATGAAGTGGGTTCCATTGAATTTTCTGCTGTTGTTCTGTGCATCTTAAAATTTCCCTTCTCGACTTAACCGAACATGTGCTGGGTGCCGGGTGGCACCTTGTAGCTGGGATAGCCGTTGTTCAACTGGTGTTTGGCAAAGAAGGGTGTGTAGTCCTGGATGGTAAATATGTGTATATTAGTATCGGAATAACCTTGGTCTTTGGGGGGGCACAAAATCCTACCCGGTTGATTCTCCTGGGACGGCAGACGGGGCCCAACGCCAACTGGCGACGTTCCTCGTTCTCGCGAGCCGCTGCCTCCTTGTACTCCGGTGGTGGCCATTTCAAATCTCCGCGCAATTTGCTGCCTCCTGGAATATTGCAAATAAGTTTTGTTAAATAATGTTTTCTGTAGACCAGTATCCAGTGACCAGAAGTAATTAAGATCTTGGAATATAATTACCAAGAGGTTGTAATTTGATTGTTAATCTATTTTTGAAATTTAAAAAAAACTCCCTTTCAAAAACTTTTTTCTTAGATTGAGACAAATAAACCGAAAATATAGTCGAGGGAGTATCTAAATCTATCAAAACTGCCTTATGGTAGTGCAGTTACAAACACCATTAAAGGAAAAACACACGCACGCGAGTAACAAGTCCCACACAGTCATGAAAAAGACAACAACACTTTGCATTGTGAGTTGAGGAGAAAAAAAACTTCAATGGAATTTGTTGTTGGCCTGGCTCGCTCTTATCTATTAAGGACAGCGACACAAAGAGGACTCGGGGTGTGCATAGGCAAGCATTGCGAGTGCACTGCCGTATGCTTAGTGCTATTACAAAAACAATTGTGCTCGTGTGCCATAGGAATGAGCACCCCTGATCTAAATATTATATTTAGTTTGAAAATAATTAATTCATTCATATCATAAAAAAACTTTATAATGTTTTTGCTAGGAGTATTCCATATTTCAGAATTAAGAATATCACATCTTCAGTAAAGTAAATAATTTTTTTTTTAAAGTTCAATCCCCTGACTCACCCTGATAGCTGACGGCGGCAGGCTGCGAAGTGTAGACTGGCGCAGGCTGCTGGCTGACTGGTGCCTCCTTGCGCAGGGTGATAATGCCGGGACTGGCGCCCCGGTAGCTATCCTGGCCGGCGAAGGCTCCAGGATGCTGCTGCTGCTGCAGATCGGTCTGATCCTGCGAGTACGGCACCTGGGGCTGCGAATAAGAATTGTATTGGGGTTGAGCAAAGGTCGAGCCACCGTTTTGCTGTGGGTAATAGGATGACTGCTGTTGTTGTTGCTGCTGCTGGTACGGTGAAGACTGGTACGATGGCTGATGCTGCTGCTGCTGCTGTTGGTTCCACTGTGGTGGCTGGTAGGGAGCCTGAACCTGGGGCTGATATTGCTGTTGTGGCACCTGTTGCTGTTGCTGCTGTTGCCATTGTGTTGCAGGTTGCTGCTGGTGGCCATCGTAAGACGGAGCACCGTACTGCTGCTGCTGCTGTTCAACCGGTGGTGCAGTGGTTTTTGGTGGTGCCAACATGCATGTTTGTCATGGGTTTCGATCACAGGTTATGGTTTGATTTCATTGATGTGTGGTGTTTGTTTTGTTGGTTGGGAGGTGCATACGACACATTCACATTGGATGTAGACAGACAGATAGAATATGTTGGAGATAGAGATAGACAGAAGAACTCAGTTAGAGGGCGGGAGGTTAAGTTTTGAGTTAGGTATGGCTTAAGTTTTATGCGCAGTTTACAGCTGAAAGTCGCAGAGAAAGAAGCAAAAGCAGTATAAGCTAGTGGTTGAGTAAGTATTTGCATATAAACAGCGATTAGTTAAGATTTCAGCATGCAAAATCGAGTGAGTACAAAAATACTAACAGAATTTTGAAAGTGTGATTCGATCTTGCACAATTCAATAGACACTTAAATTAAGGAATTTTTATATTTTTATCATTTAATAAAATGAATTTAGACTGAATTTAAACTGAATTCCCATCGTAATCAATGGTTTTGAATCCATTTGCTCTATTAAAAAGCCACTAAACTTCTAAACTAATTCTAATATACTTTAAAGTCGTAGGATATATATAAATCCTTCTTCAAACTTTTTTTTTTTTTATAAATGTACATAATATATAAAAGAAATGTTTTGTGATCAAATATAAAATAATAATATAATCCTCTAAAGTCACATGTAGATTTTTAAATGTAATTAAAGTAGTAAATTTGTTTAGTAAGTTTATAAGATTGGAACACAGGTTATTTCTAAGATAAAAGTTAAAACGGGTATAGGGACCTTATAGATGTTTAGTGAGAGTGAGAGAAAAGGATTAGTAAGTGTCTGAAATAATTATATGATAGACTTGTTTAGTAAAAGAAAGATAGAGGGGTTTAGTAAATGACTAAGGTAGAAGAAAGGAAAGCATCTAAGATAGGAGATCAACGATGGCAGGAGACAGAGAAGATCACAGCCGCAGTGCAATTTAGCCAAAAGCCTGGATCCAATCCGACCAGGACCAAGTACAGTGATTATACCTGCGGCTGCTGATAGGATGGCTGCTGATAGGATGGCTGCTGCTGCTGCTGCTGCTGTGGGGATCCCTGGAAGGGAGGATAGGCTCCTCCGGCGGCGGTATAATCACTGCGCGACTTGGGCAGCGGGGCACCGATATGCTTCCAGCCACCGCCTGGCTGCTCCTGCGGATAGTTCGGCTGATAGTTGGGATGGGCATAGCCATTGCGATCGGACGCGGGGTCTGGAGATGGAGCCGGAACCTGGACGGGTTCCCTCGACCTCTGCCGATTGAACTGGGCCTGTGTGTACTGCACAGGTTGCTGCTGCTCCTGTTGTGGATAACTATCTGTGTTGGAGGCGGGTTGCGGTGCTGGTGCGTAGACACTTTGTGGTGGTTGGGTGGTGCGTGGCTGGACGTTGTTATAAATGGGACCCTGCAAGTTGTCAGTGTGGTTAGGTGCGGGAGATGGGCGGTGTGTTGGGACTTCCAAATGCTATGTACATGGCTTTATGCCTCACCGAATGAGATACGGAATTGTGGCGGTGTGGCGGGTACAATTATATTTACACTCGACGTACGTACGTTAACTTGACTATATATGTAGTATGTACAATTCATCGGTCAAAGGGGGGGGTTTTTGGGAAATTACCTGGGGTGGGGCAGTAGCGGGTAGGTGGGCCTGTGCCTGAGCCTGAGCCTGCGGATAGTAGCCCCCGGAGCCCGGGGCGGGACTCTGGGTTTGGGGCTGGGGGGTGAACTCCCGGATGATCCGCTCCTCCGAGGCCGGTGGCCAGGCCACACGCTTGTAGCCTGAATCAAAGAGAGAGAGAGAGAGGGGGAGAAAAAAGGTAACGATAAATACTCGGAATTCTTTTTTACGACCATCGGCCGATGCAGCTGCTGAAAATGCAGCTGCCGTGCAAAAACATTCAACAAAATGCGGCCAAAACGTGGGCGTCACTATAACCTTGGACTGCACATTGCATCGCATTCTGGCCAGTGCTAGCGAAACAATTTGAAAATGATTTAAGCCAATTAAAATTATAGCCATCGGAATGGCTGAATGCAATGTGCGAACAAAGGAGGCGGAATTTGGGGAGGAGGGTGTAGATTCTGCAAATCATACACGGCTGTCATTGCGTCTAAATTTAGACGATGAGAACGAGTCGAAAGCTAAGAATTTGACATTACTCATGGGGTGATGGGGATGATGAGGATGTACGTGCAACGCGGCAACATGTTGCCGCTGCACCAGCAACATTGTGCGCTCAAAATGGGCTCGGAATGAATCGGCTCGTGAGGGATCGGCAATATTGTGTGTGATATATAGTGTGAAAATTGTGTTTACCCTCCAGATTTTTGTAGTTCTCGTTGATGATTTTCCACTGAGCGACCATGGTTATATGTGTATATTGCTCTCTCTTTTTTTTTATTCCTTTGTATCTCTCTCTATCTAGAGCTATCTATCTATCTATCTATTTGGCGGATCGGGCCTTTGCGTAAGAATAAAAATATTCTCGTATAGATATCAAAAATAACAAATACACTTATATACAAAGATGTATATGTTTGTTTTTTGCGGCTATTTTTTGACTTGTCCGCTCGCAGAAAGTCGAGAAGAGCGTTATATAACCCCGAGGTGCAATCAATTGAATTCGATATTTGGAGAGACTGCTGATGGGAACACCACCGTTTCGCGAATTTCGTATTTCGAATTTCGATTTCTCTGATTTATGGCTCTTTTTAGGCTCTATTTTGCAGATCGGCGCGCGTTTCGTTTATCCTTCGGATCGATATCGTTGAAAAATCAGAAAAAAAATGATTCGGCTAGCACGGCGATGGGTTTTGTCGTTTTTTGAATGTTGTTCAATAAAATTTAACTCAATTTGATTCGATTCAATTCGCGTGCGTTTGCCCAATTTAATTTCTATTTTCTATTATAGCTATTGGCTATTTCTATTTGCTAATTCGTTGATCGTTCGCGCTGCGATATGTTTGCCTTCGATGTATGCTACTAAGTGAGGAGCCAGAGAAATGCAGAGGAAATTATTGTTAGCCAGCGTAGCCAAGATGTAGAAACATTGGCACTCGTGTGGGTTCCAACCCACACATTCGGCGTTGGACTTTCGTATTTGCGAGATCTGAGATCTGAGATCCGCCAAAGTAAAGACTTCTCTGAGAGAGGGTGAGACACAAAGATATTCCGAGATGCAAACATATATATGCCGCGAGGGTCTGCTAAGTATGCTGATCTTGATCAGGGGTCCTCCACTGGGAGGCAGCCAACTCCTGGCATTGTTTACACCTTCGATTTTTGTGTGATTTGTGGGCCGCACCTTGAAATACTGATCATCAGCATCGTGCCGACTCCCTCACTCACGGCAGACGATCTCAAGGTGTCTGCCGCAGCTATCTATATATACCTATAGATATGGACGATACAGTCGCACATATTTGCGGTTCTTTGCCCAGATCTCTATAGGATTCCCAAGTGGCCAACCTACTGTTTATTGTTATGGCGATTTGTTGTGGGCGAGCGGCAAATCAAGTGGGCGCACACACCCATCTATCTTGCGGATATCGTCTGATCCCAGCCAACTAACTATCTATCATCTATCTTGTGGCCATAGCAGATATAAGTAGTCTGTGACTCAAAGCCAGCGAAGACCGCGGTGGCTAAATTTAAACGGCTGTCATCTTGGGCGAACTAAAACAAATCTGTTTTTAAACGTATTCACACAGGTGTACGACAAAAGTTGGCTCATTAAAATTATTAGCAAACTTGTAACTCGCAGGCCTGCATCTATTTACCCGCCATATCACCATATATCCCATATGAACGCCCATGTATTCATTGGCAATTATTTGATATAATAAGAATGGTCTGCTCGTTAGCCACGCAACAAATTCGTTTTGATGACCGCCAAACGTCACAGATAAATACAAAAAATTGGAGTCATTTGTGCATGCTTAAGACAATTAATTTGAGATTTTGGGTACGACAATACAATCAAAATATGTTTTATAGACATCTACACATGTTCGCATATATGTATTACAGTTTTTTTGATTATTGTAAGAACTGAATCGAAGAGATTAACCGTTTTTTCAGGGCGCCGAGATAATCTATATAACTAAATTATCCATTGGCAACGAATTCCGGTGACATAAGTCAGCGGATAAGATGGGCAATATAATTCTAAAATAGAACCATGTGATTTACCTATAAAAAAAAATAAATACTCATACTGACTAATAAAAAAATAGTTTTAAAATAACACGATGATAAATTAAGTAATTTTTATGATTAATTCAATATTTCCACTTGAAAACAAATACATTATAATTTAATTTCAATATATAAGTAGTGAAGAACTTAAAACCTGAATCATTTGGCTGGCAAGATTAAGATCTTTCCCCAAAGAATAATCCCTAAGTGCTCGTGATTCAAGACCCACTGAGTCACACAAAAGAATGTTGGGATTAATATATAACAAAGTGGGGGGAGAACACACCTTGAAACACACATTTATATACCGATATTTAGATACAGAAATCGGTGGGCTGATCACGCACCTTCAATGCCCAAATATGGGCGTGGCGAGACATTATCGAAGGATCGGTTGACGCTGAAATCTCGCTGCACCTCGTCGAAGGAGGCGAGGGATCGGAATTTGTGCTGTTCCCCGGACTCGAGACTGGGGAATTCGAAGGGCGAGGGCTGGGCCGCAGAACGGGGCGTGGCCGGGGGCGTGGCAGCCAGCATTGAGGAGGATGCCGACATGCTCTGCTGCAGTGGCTCCGTGGCCGTTTTCACCAGGAGTCCGATATTATGGCCTTCCATCTGGGGAACATGCGAGAATTTTGCCGGAGGATTAACTGGTGACGGTGTGGCCCTCGCCTGGACGGGATTCAGACCATATGGTGAGCTGGAACGCTGTGGGGCTTCGATGAGTGGAGCAGGATACTTGCGAGATGGCAGCGGACTGGGAGAACGACTGCGCTCCCAGGTAATATCCTTTTCCGTTTCCGTTTCCGGTTGGAGGCTTCGGTTCATCTGCTTCGGTGGAGGAGGCGGCGGCGGCGGGCGTTGGAGGCTTGGAATCCGGAGCTGGCGTGGTCACGATCTCCACAAAACTCCGCTGACGCTGCAGCTTCTCGGGCGAGGCAGTCTCCTTGGCCGACTGGGCATCCTCCCAGGAGATCTGGCGCGAAATGTAGGGACTCCGAATCTCATAGGTGGCCTTGTAGTTCCGCAGCGGTTCGTTGTGCAGATTGGCAATGCGCCACTGGTCCGCTTTGTTGAGTTTACCCCAGTTATTCGGGGAGCAGCGCAGCTCATCGCAAACTGGGCAGTAGGTGGAGGCATCCTCATGGAGGCAGGATTTATCTACGTCTATTGGAGGATCTGTTTCCAAAGCCTTTTCACTCTCCTTTCCGGTCAGAGGTTTCTCAATTGAATCCTGTTTCTCATCCTTCTCCCTCAACTCCTTTTTGGCCAGCTGCTCTTCGATGGCCTTTCGTAGCTCTGTTTTGGCTGGAACCACCTGCTCCTCCTGCCACTCCTCGAACTCCTTTTTGGTCAACTGCTCATAGTTGGCAATTACATCCGATACGTGTCTGTACTCCATGTCCTCGACTTGCTCCTCCTCCTCCTCCTCCGCCTCGTCCTTGATGACTACGTGCTCGGCTTGAATGACAGCTGGCGTTGTGCGGAGTTTTACGTGTTCTGTGTGCTCCGCGGTCTCCGGTTTTTGCTCCAGCGCCACGGCAATCTTGTGCAGATCCTCCAGTGCCCGCTCCACAATGGGCACGTTTTCGGTGAGGGACTCCTCTTCCTCCTACGGGACACCAGCGGCGGTCTCCTCCTTAATCTCTTTGGAGAGCCTCGTGGGCAATCCAGCTGCCCGGGTGTAAATCTGGCGGAGGATGGCCTGCAGTGGACTCTCCACGGCCAAAATGGGCGACTGGCGATGGGCGAAGATGTCCCAGGATTCGTTGGATGCCGAACTAATGGGTCTGGCAGGTGGCGGAGGGGGAGGAGGGGGAGGAGTGGGTGTGGTCTGGGCACTCCTCTGCAGCGCCTGCTTGGCATTCTCCATATACGCATCGATCTGGAGCAGGTGCTCCGCTATGGACTGCTGTATGTGGGCATATTTCGCCTCCAGCTGGGCAATCTCCACATGGGCCTCGTGCTGTTTCTCCGTCTCCGTTTCCAGTCGGTAGATGCCGCCCTGTCTTCTCGTCAGCTTCTCCCTGGCCAGCGAATCCTGGCCAGACTTGGTGCGCATCACAGGCGGCGGCGGAGGAGGAGGTGGCGTTGGAATGGGAGTTCCTGGCGTACTACTCGCCTGCCGCTGGAGCAACTTGATGCCACTGGTGGCACTCACATAGGTGGGACTCTCCTCCTCCATCTCCTGCTGATCCTGCAGATACGAACAGGCGTCGTCGTAGATCTGCTGGGCACTCAGCTTCACCGGATCCGTCGACGATTCCACGCGAACGGGCACAATGCGAGTGTTGGCCAAGGGACTGGGATTTGGTTTGCTCCCATTTGTGGCCAAAGCCAGAGCCATCTGCTGCTGCTGCTTAACTGCCAGGCTGTCAATTATCGCTTGGCCCCCTGTCTTCGCTTGACTTGATTTGAGACCCACGGCAGCTGGCGTCGGCGGCAGTGGCAGCGGCAAGGTCTCCAAGTCCACCTCTTGGCCGGAATGGGGCTCCTCCTCGCTGTCGTAGGAGATCTTCACCTCGGTGGCCATCTTGATGCATCGGCGCTGCACCTTTGGCACTTTCTGGGGTGTTCGTGGCTTGGGCGGTGGAAGTTCTGGCGCAGCACCCACTGTCCGCTTGCGGGAACGACCACGATCCAGGGAGTAGGCCTGTCGCTTCGGCCTCGGACGATATGGGGTCACTGGAGTGGGCAGAGAGGTGGGAGTGGTGGGCCGTTTGTTTGCCAACTGCTCGTAGTATTCGCAGCGTGGCGCCACCAGACCCAAGTCCACGTCGGCTGCTTTGGTTTCGGGAGCGGAAAAGCCCTTCGCCAGGGGGGTTTGATGGAAAACCTCCGAGAGCTCAACCCTTTGGGGGGTTTTGGATCTCTCCTTGGAGCCAGAGCCACCACCCTCTCGTTGTCGCTGCTCCCTCACCTGCTTGGCCGTTGGCTCCACAATCCTGGTGGGACTCTGGAACTTCTCCCTCAGAGCCTCAATACTGTGCGAGGGACTACAGGCGACCGGATGACCCTGATCGGCATTGATAGCCAGCTGATCCTGCTCCACTGGCGGCCAGCTGTGATCCCGCTTGAGCAGATGCCTCTTGGTGGCCAAACGGTTGATCTTGAGCACCGTGTCCCGATCGATGGTGATGTCCTGCTGGTGGCTGAGGTAGTCCGTTTTGATCTGGTCCAGCAGCTGCTGGTGCAGCGTGTGATGCAGTGCATCCCCATCGCCACGGTGACGCTGGCGACTCCGCCTTTCACTGGGGTAGAAATCTTTAGCGGGGCAAGCCCCATAATTTACTGAAATTTTATCTGGAAAATAACACCAATATTGGACAATGGACAATGGGACTTAGAGGGCCTGTTTTGTTGAATGTTTTCACACTGTTTCTTTATGTTTGCGGCAACTATTTGATAAACACGCACGGGCAACAAACTAACAAATAGTTGTTTTATCTTACCAGATTTGGCTTGTTGTTCTTCCTCTTCGACGGCGCGCAGAACGGCCGAGTTGGCCAAGTTCAGGGGCTTCGAGATTTGGTCGTCGACTTCAATCCTAGAAAGAATAAAAAATAACAAAGCATTTAGCTGAAGTCTATATATAAGGCGAATAGTTTAAAGAGCATTTTGAATTTCGCGCCATGCACTGCTTGAACTGCTTCCACTGCTTTGCGTTGGCGCCAACTTTTAATTAGCATTTGAATTTCAATGAAATGTACTCACTGAACAGGAAATTAAATATAAATGTATTACATTTTATTTTATTTATTTTTAGTTTATTTTTTATTATTCGAAATACTGTACAACACAAAGTAAATATTTTGTAATGTCCTTCCCCTCGTTTATTTATTTTACAGTTTATTTAGATACACTTTATATATTTCACTTCTTTCATTTTGTATTTATCTTTCAGTTAATAATTGGTGGGATAATAATAAAAGTGTGAGGCCCAATAAATGCCTAATTAAAGTGTTCTAAATGTAAATATGCGAAATTGTTTATAGATTCCGCCACCCCTTGGTGCATCCTAGTAATCGCAAAGTTATGCTAAGCCATGGGCAGCATTCCTCGATGTCCTGACATTGAAAATTAGCAAGTCGTTTTCGACCCACGCTGACCCCAAAAGACTAATCAGTTCCGACAAGTGGAAGTGCGCCGAAGGATATAAAAATGGCTGAAAGCGGCGGAAAGTGCATCAGATCCTTTCCAGCAGCCAATCCAGCATAACCATGATGTTCCGATCCGTGATGCCGTTGCTCCTGCTTCTGATCCCGCTGCTGGAATCGGCGGAGGCATTTAGCTGGCACCAGGCCTGTGGACCCGATCTCACCGAGTTGGTGCTGATGATGTGCCCCAATGGAGTGGCCGGAATGTACCAAAAGCGAGACTCCAGTGAGTATTGGCGGTTCTTTGGGTTTTCAGAACAGCACGAACTCACTCTTTTTGGTGGGTTTTATCATTTATAGCGATTTTTGATTATGTGATGGCGGATGGAGGTGACGCCGATGCGGTCTCCGAATCCCACAATAACGGGATAAACTCGCTGACTGGATTGCGACGCGACTTTCGGGGAATTGTGGACCAGTGCTGCCGGAAACCGTGCCCTTATAATACACTAATGTCCTACTGCAAATAGGAGTACTTCTAATATTTTGCTACGAGACCTGATCCATCAATATATACACTACACATTACGTTTTGATTATATTGTTATAAAAGTAAATAAATATACGAGCGCAGTTAAAAAATATTTTTAAGAAAAATCGTTGATGAAAGAATAATATTGTTTAATTTATTTTTCTGACCAACAATTTAAAGTTCTTCGGTTTGATGAAAATTCTATTAGATTTAACTGTGATTTGAATCGAAAGCAAGCAGGTTTTGACAAAAACGTGTAACTTGAACAAATTTAAAATCGGCAAGGACCAAAAAAATATAAATTCCTGATGAAATATATTTTTAAGCCATTTTCATAAGCCCACCGCCATTATCTCAATGCAGCTGTGTATATGGTACAAAATTTGCTCTTTGAGCGCAAGTAAAAGCGAATTTTGATTTGAATCGCAGCAAGTTGGGTGGAAATTTCGCACAAACAAAAATATGCATTACGCTTGCCTGGCGATTTTCTTTAAGCTGCCAAAAAGAGTTCTCAACTTTAATTATAATTTGCTTGAAATGTTTTGCTCGCAACGCATCATCTTAATCTGCCTGAAATGTTTTGCCTTCCTCAAAGATAACAAACAGAAATATTTAAGCTAAGAAAATGTGCCTGCTGAGATAAGACCTTAAAGAATTTATGGACAACAAAGTCCGGAGATAATACCAAAGCTTTAAGCTTCTACAGAATTTTAAAGCAAATGAAAACCGTTTCCCATTAGTTTTGACATTGACCTCTTTGAAGAGTCCCTTCAAAATAAAATCACTCACGTCGGTCGGCGTCAACATTAATTAGTTGATTAATTTCAAGCAATGGCAAACATTGTGACAACCTCATTTGCCGCAAGCAAATATTTGCTCAGAAATAAAGAGAAATTCAATTCATTGGATTTCGATTGTGGTTTCGTCAAATATTTGCCAAAATATTCGTTTAGTGGCGTCTGATGATTATAATTACTAATTGTAATTGGTTGAACAGTTTTTAAATTATTTTATTTTTGCGGCTCATCGGTTAACTGTGCGATTTCCCTGTGATTCACCGATGGGCATAAGTCAAGAGATGCCTCACAGCTTTTGGCTAGACGCCTGCCGCTTGTTTGTTGACATTGTTTTAGTTGTTCTTTTTCGATTCTGTTGCATTAAATCAGTGCACTATCGCTGGCGAGTGACTCATCGACCCGCTGACGTCTTGAATTATTTTTAATTACTTTACACACGCAGAAACGAATGGTTATTTTAATGATTTACAACATTTTTATGAAATTTTTTGAAATTTAACACCATTTGGAATTATTGGAAAAGGTTTGTTTACCATGAGAAAATATTTTAAATAATTTTTATTTGCTCTTAGCGATGTTACTTTTGTCTGATATTTTATATTTATGATCTACATAATTTGTTTATATTAATCTAACAATTTAATCCTCCATAATTTTTATTGTTTTAAATATTTTGGATATAAAAATATCTTAAAAATTAGTGGATGCATTTTGTGATCTCTTGAAGCATCCTAAGATCAAGTTTATGCTTCTAAATGGTCCTTTTTTCTCTTTTACACTCGACTGGCGTTATATAAAAAGTATCTTCGGGGATGCTCCCGCTACACGTACATTTTATTTTCGAAGTTTTAAGTTGTGCGAAGCCTTGGCTCAGCTGTTTTTGGAAAAGTTACTCCCTAATGCGGGAAAACACGTTACGCACACTCACGCGCGAATATGCGATTGAAAGTTTTCAGTTTTCAGTTTTCAGCGCTCAGTTTTTGGGCTTTGGTAATTAAATTTAAAGACTCCGTTGCAGTTGAACACGTTTTGTCGCACGCATAGTCACCGAATAACTGAAAGGCACTTAAAGTTTTTGCTCATCAGAGCAGATCACCACTATATCTGTATCTTTCTGGCGGATCGGATCGGTTAGGTGAGGCGAGGTGTGCTGAGGCCGGTTTATTCAAACAACAATTGCAAACAACAATGGGAGAGATACACATATATAGTGTTGTTGTGGCGACAACAGCAGCAGCTACAAATAAATTCAAGTCTGAAAAGCATCGCTGAGATACGCGTCGCCGTGTGCTGCTTATAAAGCTTTTTGGTAATTACAATTAAACGTCAAAGCATTTAATTGTAAAGGTTGTTTTTGTCCTCATCGTGTTTTCGAGTATCTCCGTGTATATCTGTGTGTCACAACAAATTGGCAGCAGTTGCAGTCGCTGCTCTCTCCTCTGCCGCTGCCTCGGTCGGCGCTGCAGTCGCGCTGCAATGCACAAAGTGAAGGGCTTCCCCCCATTTAATCCCCCTGGCCGCCCACTAATTAATGTGTTTTGTGCACCTGTTTTGTGGCAGCGGATTTTGTATCTGTCAAAATAGAACAAGCAGCGTTGGAGGCTTTTGATGGGGTTTGTGTTACCAAAAGACTTCCAGTTTTATTTAAAAAAAAATGTGAAAAGAGTTTCTTAAGATGTTGGCTTAAATAAAACAGCTTATGCCTCTTAGTTAAGTATTATCTTAACTTACTCCTTGGTTAATTTACAGTTTCCATTTCCTAAGACCCATTATAAAAAAAAATATTAATATGCAATCAATAAAAAAATCTTTTAAATATAAAATAAATAAATTCATTAACAGGACATCTGGTTTTTGGTTTATTTTAAGAACCCAGCCTCATAAAAATTAACTGTGAGTTTTAGGGTTTTAAAATTCCCGGGGGAATTTTGAAAACCCCCAAAAAAACAAAAAAACCCCAAAAAAAAAAAAAAAAAAAAAAAAAAAAAAAAAAAAAAAAAAAAATATAAAAAAAAAAAAAAAAAAAAAAAAAAAAAAAAAAAAAATAAAAAAAAAAAAAAAAAAAAAAAAAAAAAAAAAAAAAAAAAAAAAAAAAAAAAAAAAAAAAAAAAAAAAAATAAAAAAAAAAAAAAAAAAAAAAAAAAAAAAAAAAAAAAAAAAAAAAAAAAAAAAAAAAAAAAAAAAAAAAAAAAAAAAAAAAATTATTTGGGTACTACAATAATATTTCACTATTTATCTCATTTTTTAGACCTCCTTTTCGCTTTTTCTTTCTGTTAATAATTGGCCATTTAAAGTTACTCAAAAAGCTTCTAAATTTAAATTTGCGATATTATTTATAGATTCCGCCACCCCTCGGTGCATCCTATTAATCGCAGAGTTATGCTAAGCCATGGGCATAAATTAATGGCAGCATTCCTCGATGTCCTGACATTGAAAATTAGCAAGTCGTTTTCGACCCACGCTGACCCCAAAAGACTAATCAGTTCCGACAAGTGGAAGTGCGCCGAAGGATATAAAAATGGCTAACAGCGGCGGAAAGTGCATCAGATCCTTTTCAGCAGCCAAATCCAGCACAACCATGATGTTCCGATCCGTGATGCCGTTGCTCCTGCTTTTGATCCCGCTCCTGGAATCGGCGGAGGCATTCAGCTGGCACCAGGCCTGCGGACCCGATCTCACCGAGTTGGTGCTGATGATGTGCCCCAATGGAGTGGCCGGAATGTACCAAAAGCGGGACTCCAGTGAGTATTGGCGGTTTTTTTGGTTTTTAAAACAGCACGAACTCACTCTTTTCCGTGGGTTTTATCATTTATAGTGATTTTTGATTATGTGATGGCGGATGGAGGTGACGCCGATGCGGTCTCCGAATCCCACAATAACGGGATAAACTCGCTGACTGGATTGCGACGCGACTTTCGGGGAATTGTGGACCAGTGTTGCCGTAAATCGTGCTCTTTTAATACGCTAAAGTCCTACTGCAAATAGGAGTACTCCCAATAGTTTGTTACGAGACCTGATCCATCAATATATACAATATATATTACGTTTTGATTATAAAATATGAATAAATATATATACGAGCGCAATTGAAAACACTTTTTATGTAAAATCTTTGATGGGGGAATTAAGTTAGATTTAATTTACGATTTTCATTTCTCAAGACTCATAATAAAGAACAAATTTGAAAAAAAATGATTAGTCAATATAATTCAATTACAGTTCAGCAGTGCAAAGGCATTAAAGATAAAAAGATTAGGAGGACAACTGGTTTTTGGTATATTTTAAGATCCCAGCCTCATAAAAATATATGGGATTAATGAAAGGCTTTACTTGGCTTGTTTGGCTTTCCACAAAGGCTAATTCGTAACTATTTAATTCGCTGACAGTGACTAGAAGCTTTACTATGAATTATATACCTCGACTAAGCGGAAAGCAAACGCAATTACCCCACCGAACCTTTTACGACCACTCTTCCCCAGCTGGCTGCTTTCATCTATTTTATGAAATTATGCATTTAAATGTATGATAATCATTTCGCTTGGGCACACAGGGAAGCGTTCATTTCATTTTTTTCTTACTTATTTTTTAATTTTTTTCCTGGTACTCACCCCTCGCCGCCGAAGGCTTTCAGCTCGCGGTTCAAGGTGGCCTTCACGTTCTCCTGGGAATAGAGGCCCATGGGCGAGTTGAACTGCTTGTGCACCAGCTTCCGTTGTAGGGCGGCCATTTTATATATATGTACGTATAGATATAGATATATATATGTATGTGTATCCTTTCTGGACTGCTTCTTCCTGCGGACTCAAGTTGCTCCTTTCAAATGTTTAACTTCGATTCCGTCTTGGCTGACTTTGTTTGCCTCGGAGCTCTCTGTGTGCAACTTCTACTTCGGATGTCTTCGAAAGTTTTTCAAAAAAATATTGCGGATAAAAATATTTTTTAAAATTTTCTACTCGACTTTATTCTGCCTATCGGTGTTCTTTTGTTGTTCTTCCTTGCCGGCAGTAAGTGGGCGGCTTAAAAAAGAATCCTACTTCAGATGGACTTAATGTTAATCGTTAATTGTCGGTCGTTGTTCGTTCTGTAATTGAAATGCAAAACAAAACTGAATGAGATAATGAGGTAAGTGGAAGCTTAATTCGAACGGGAGTTAATTGAAAGAGGCGTATAATGCGATTAGGTTTCAATGGCGGCCTTTTATGATTTTCATAGGGCTCATATTAAGGTTTTGACTTCTTTGCAAGCTATTTGGATAGTAAAATAACTAATTAACTTAATTAACACATTTTTAATTTTATTGTGTGTTGAACTTTAATTCAAATAAAGGTGTTATGGACAGTAATTATAGTTTAGAATCGACTTTTAAACCTATGGCTCAAGTTCACTTTAATAATGCAATTTTTAAATCAAATACACTAAATTTAACGTTTTTATACGTTTGATTTTTTTATCGACAGGATGTTGATTAATATTTCAACGCCTAATAAAAAACCTGCAAATGTAATTTTCTTTTACAAATGCCGAATAAAATTGTTTTGTGTTTAATGGCAAGCAAAACGTTTTTATTTGATATTTCTTTTAGCCTTGTATAACAAATCACTAATTCCTATATGCACGTATAAAAGTCTAATTATAAACGCAAAACAAAAACTGGGAGACTCATAAAAGTTTTCGAGTAAGAGCGAAATAATTTTAGAAATATTTCCAGCAGCACAGACACTTCAATGTCAACGATCTATATATAACACTTTAATGCCATCCAAAAACTAATGATACATATGAATGTTCCATTTTATAAGGCACTCAATTGCGGACTGGAATAATTTAAATGCCACTAGCTATAGAAATTCCTTTCGATTTTACAGCTGTTGCTAACAAATTACAAATGTTGAAATTCGTGCGAAATATCGAAAATATACAATAGCACGTTTAGTATTTATTTTTCCAATTTCCTGAGACACTCACTCACTACTGTCACATTTAGAAATGTATCTTAAACTAATTTGAGCACCGCCTGGCTGGCAAAACAAAAATTCTAATATTTTTGTGTGTTCAGACTTTCAGATTTGTGTTGTCTTGCTATTTGTGCGTTGGCCTAAAAATAGAGCCAAAGACAACGGCGAAAATATTGAAATGTGCTCAATTTTTGTTTTTTCGCTACACTCATATTTTCCACACACACTCGGGCTCTCTCGATGTCTCTATTTTGAAATTCCCGCCTTGTGTGTCACCTCAAGTAAAATTAGCAGCTGTGAGGAAAAGATACCATTATTTAGATTTGCGTCATTTCGAGAAAATCACAAGGGAAGGGGAAAGGGGAAGGGTATGGGTAAATGGTAGATGGAAAATGCAATAAAAGATACTTGAAATAATCGTAATGAAGTATTTTTGTGTTTGCTCGCATTTTATGCCTTTTAATTGCTGCTTGCTGCTGTTGCTGTTGCTGCCGTGCGTCTGCTGTTGCTGCTGTGTTGCAGCTGCCACAGCTGCTGCCCCCGTAAGCACGCAATATTCTGACTGGGCCAACGGAAGCGGACCAAGAATCGCACAAATTAATCAACATTTAATAAAATATTATGCAAATTACACACAAAAGGCAGGAAAGCAGCGAAACAGAAGAGAGAGAGAAGGGGAGAAAAAGAGCCAGCAGCAACAAGAGCTTGCCACTTGATGTCCCAATTAAAGTTTAACACAAAACTCATACAAACACACGCACACACACCCAACACCCCACTCACACACTCGCAGCTAACCCACACACAGATACACAAACAGGTGCGTGCTGCACTCTGTGTACTTAGCACAGGAATTGTAAGGGAATTTGCATAAAAAATTCGAGCAAAAATAATGTTTCAAAAAAAGCAAAATGAGCATGAACGAATGAGAGGAGTGGGTGTTCCATACAAAACATAACGCTCTGCCATTTGCTATTTGCCATATACCATATGCCAGCCCACCCACATTTGCAGCAACTCTTTCAATACTCTTCTTCGAAACAAATTACCAGCCCCGGGACATGTGTACATTTAAATTACAACAGAGTCGCAAAGCCAAGAGTTTTCCACTTCATTTGTTTTAACAAATTGTTTCGGGCTTTCAAATGACAGAGGGAGAGTCATTGTAAAAAGTACAATGTTTATTTTAAAAATCTTTTTCGCCCTGGCAACAGTCAATCAACCAATATGTCACACAGTTTCGCCTTGGGCTAAATTTTTAAATAATATTTTTCTGCAATTACTCAATATGTTATAGGTTTAACAAAAATATTTGAGTGTGTTTTGCCTTGGGAACGCTTCTGTTATACATAGGTGCGATTTCAGTTTGAAGTTGAAATGTTACACTTTTATTTGATTTTTACTTTGTTTAAAAAAAATATACTTTTTTTAACTTTTCAGAACTTGATGAGTTGTAAAGTAATATTTTGTTTAAATATATAGTTAGCTTTGGCAAGCAAAATAGTTTTTACTTATAACAAAATCTTTACTTTTAAATAAATATTTTTAAAGAATTTCTTGTGATCTAATTTTTTTAGGAAACAGGTGTACCTAGTTATTTATATCGCATTCCTAAGGTGAGTGTATGACGTCTTCCCCATAACCTAATTAACATTTCTCCCCTATTCATTTTTCAGTGTCTTTATTTTGGCATCGACATCATTATCATAGCTGCCATAGCCATCGGTTCGACTCCATGGCATGTGTGGGTGTGTCTTTTTGAAAGTGCTATATAAACTATAATGGTGGCTAAATGTGTGAGCGAGTGTGTGTGTGTGTGTTTTGGCACACATATGCATTGGAATCAGGTGCAAATATTGTTGGATTTGCGTCGAGGCAAGGTATTTCGCAAATCTGGGTGTCGACGCGTATGTGGATCTCTTGGATTGCACATCCCAAATCCCGAAACTGGATGAAAGCTGTTGATTTTGCCTGCCATGTTTTTGCTGATTTAATTATTTAAATTCAGCATTGTGCCACGGCAGCTCTTGTTTTTGTTGAATTGCTTGAATATTTCATTTTGCTTCTACGCAAAAGCAAAAATATTTCATTAAACGGGTGCAATTTGAGCATCTAGTGTGAGAAATTGGTATAAAATGCATTTGATAAGCCTGATAATTTCAGAAGTAATTGATATCAAACTTTTATTTCTCACTATTCTAAGTTGATTCTAACCTTTACAGAAGGTTGTTTGTTTAAATAATATTAATAAATATTAGATACAATTTAACCCAATTTCAAATTTTTTAATTTTAATTTACCTTTTAATATTTACAGATATTAAAAAATTTCGAAATCGATATAGAAATTTTTTCAGTTGAAGGTGAAAGCCCGATTATTAATTATTGTTATTATCATAAATTTAAGCGGGAAATGGCGAATGCTCCAGCATAATTAGCATAAAAAACTGAAGTATAATTGAAGCTAATTTGTTTTCTGTGCACGCCACTTGTTTTCGGTTTAGAAGTGGGTGGTGGGCGCTGCACTTAAGCACACTAATATTCGCAAAATAAACACACGCACACGGGCTGGCTGAAGTGTAAACACACATACACGCGTACAAGCACACTGAGAGAAATACGTATTTATTTGGTTTAATGTGGGTGCTTACCGTCTGTTACAATTTGGCGCTGCTTAATCCAAAAATAACGCCAGCCAATTGCCAAAGTTCGCTCCAGAGTGCTGCCCCTGAACCCCCCTAAGTGCCCCGCCCCTCCGCTGCACTTTCCAGTTGCACTTTCACCGCCCCCAAAATTAAGTGAGTGTGAGTGAGTGGGTGAGTGAGTATCCGAGTGTGCGGGGTCTGCCGGGGATTTCGGTTTTGGAGGAGCGCGAAAGCGAACGCGTCCGCCGACAACCGGCGTTTTGTAAGCGCACCATCGGCCAACTGAAACTGAAACTGAAAATGAAACAGCAACAGAAGCGAAGCAGCGGCAAAAACGATAAACTTTACGCAATGATCATCGGTGGCGGCGCCTTTAGCTTTGGCTTTTGTTTTTGTTTTTCCTTTTTATTTTCTTGTATTCCGTTTCATCAGTCTACATTTTCACATCTTTGGCACCGCCGCGAAGAAGAAGCGGCTGCGGATCGCCATCGCCATCGCCGGAATGTATCTGTATCCGTAGACGAGCGAGTGCGTGGATTCAGATACAATCCTCCACACTGGCGGCCGCAAAAAGGTGCATTGCAATGCGTTTCCAAAAATATAGTATAATATTAAAATATAAAAAAATAAGAAATCATAAAGCGAGCTTCAAAAAATATTTAATTAAATTGTATAATTTGAAATTAAATCAAAATGTGGGTTTAAAAAAAAGTTTCCGAACACTGAACAAATTTACTCCGAAACTTCTAAGAGTCTGCATTACTCCAGCATTTATTTAAGTCGAAAATCAGTATGAAATAATCCAATCCAGTCAAATATATTTTAAATTTTAATAAACTGAGAAAAATAAACAATGCACAAATGAAATTCTTTTCAGGCACTAGGATATATTAAAATTCCATTTCAAACCCTTAAAAATCTTTTAAATAAATGTTTTCTCAACCTAACAAATATATAATGTCAATAAATTGGTTGCCAAAAGCTGCAAGAATGTATTCCTACTAAAAATATTGATAAATTCGCAGCCAGAAATCGAGAGTTCAATTAATTAAAATGATTTATATGCAAAAGCCGAACCGCTTACGCACTTGCACATATGGATGGGTGACTTTTATTACCTAATTAACAAGAATGATGGCATTAAATTAAAATACATTGAAGCGCATTTGGCAGGTATTCAAAACGAAAACAGAATCACCACCTTGATGAGGAGGACGGCATTGACTTGAATTCAAATTGAAGACAAAGGGGATTAACAGGCTAAAAAGTTCAAAAGCGAAGCGATGAGGATGGCAAAATGTCTAAAACCCCCACAATTCTGAGGGTGATTCACTGGCACAGCAGGGGGACACCTTTTTCCCGACCGCCACTGTTAGTTGGCCACATATTTAGACCGCTTCACCCCCACTCCCCCCGCCAGCAAGAACAACAAATACACCGAGTAGTTTGAAAAGAGAGCAGCAGAAAAAATGAATTATATATAAAAAATATTCGGTCGCCGTCGATGAGCGACAAGATGGAGACAGCGGCAGCGAAAGATGGAGAGATACATTTGTATCTATAGATATAGATGGTATATGCAGGTCTTATGGCCCGACTATTACAGCACTTTTACTGCCGCACTCCCCAGCACGTCTCTAATATTCTATTTTTGAGTGTAGTTCTTCGTTTTTATTTGTTTTTTTTTTGTATTTTTCTGTTTCTGTTTCTTTTTAATTTTATTTATTTGATTTTCGTTTTGGCTTTCCACGTCCTCGCCAGCGATGTCAGCTCAACACACAACATTTTTCCCCCGTTTTTTGGGGAGCAATTTTCCCCCACGAAAATAGCAGAAAGAGTCCATATAGAAATCGACGGGAAAATGGGAAGAAATGCGCTTAAAATGTCATTTAATTGTTTCACTTGCTGCAAACGTTTTTCAGTATTTTGGCTTTTCAGTTTTTGGTTTTGCGCTTTTTGGCTTTTTGGTTTTCTCGCGGTTGAAGTTGATTTCATTTGCCAGCCTTTACGGCTCCACTTTTTAATTGTGCTTTAAATGCTAATTAGCTTTTGTGTATGCTGATGCTGGATGCTGGCTGCAAATGCAGCGCGCGAGCCCACAAATATATATATATGTGAATATATATCGGTTGGCTCTCCTTTAATGCATTTTATTTAATTAATTTTTGATGGCCCGTTCGCGGTGGGGAGTTTTTCATATTTTCATTTTCGTATTTTTTGCATTGTTGGCCACTATTTGCTGGTGACACATTTTCTGGCATTTATTTTTGGTTTTCGGTGGCGCCTCGCGTGCAGTCCACAAATTACACTATGCCCACACAAAGCTGCACCTGTCGCTGATGCACTGATGCACTGGCGTACCGGACTCGAAAATTCGACTCGGGGATCTGGGGAACTGGGAACTCGGAACTGATGTGGTGACCACGTTCGCGACCACGGTGCGAATTATTATTGTTACTCGCCGCTCAACGCAAGTCGCTGCCACTGTCCGCCGAGCCGACGGAAAAGTTCGCGAAAGCAGCAAAAGTGGCTCTTGCTCTAGTTGCTTTTTTATATGTTCCATGGAAAATGGGAGATGATGACACCCCACCGAGTGTGTGTGTGCCAGTGTGTGTGGGCCCCAAACCCTCCCCTTGTCCAAAAAAAAAAATAACCAAATTACGCCCACTCATAGCCGATTATAAATTAGCCTCGGACACTGGGCTAATCACATATGCCTCGGTTCTACCCTCCAATACAAGATGAAAAACAAAAAAAAGCACTTCAAGCCAAGAAGCGCTAGTCGAAAAGCGATAAATATTCAGCACCCCAACACACACACACGGTTGTGTGTGCTAAACCACCTAATTAACAAGAAAACAACGATCCGATATATGTACTATACATTTTTCCACCTATTCGCACACACACACAAGACTACTTTTATATGCATGTTTTTCTAAATATTGAACATTTATTTTTGGATTCTTTTGGAAAGCCATTGAGAGCAGTTCTTATGCCCTGCGCAAAACATCGGGTTATACTGACTAGTCGGAATATTTAGTTATTTACGTTTCATATTTTTCATAGCATACTTTTGGCAGCACAAGCTGGGCTTAGATTGCTTTTCTATTTGCAGTCGATTGAAGTGAAACCGCACACAATTGAAATATCTGCACAGAGATAAATGGCCAAACTATAGATTCAGTTTAAAAATCATCCTAGGCTTTTTTAATCAATACGATTTAATACCTAACTATATAATGAAATATAGGTTATTTGCACTAAAAGAATTTTAATATAAGAAAGAAGTAGAATAGAATAGTAGTATTGCGTACACAATATAAAAACTTACAAAACTTTATTTAGTTAAAAATTAATTAATAAATTAATTGCTATTTAGTACAAAGCTTGACTATCTTTTTAATGACTATGATGTTTGACGTTAGTTTACACAAGCATAAAAGTGATATATTTTATTTAAAAAAACATTTCTTAGGTTTTTTTTTTATTCAGAATTATTTAATTACTATTTTTTCAAGTGTGATATTCGAGTATGGCATTAGACAGGCGTCTATTGGCACACGTTTCGATATTTGTTCGTTATCCCGCTCATTGTTTGTGGTTCGAGTATTTTTAGTTTTCATCTGCTTATATTTTTGGAAATTTTGTTTTGCCATCAAGAGCAGAAGCAGCAGCAGAATCGGCAGAATCAACAACTTAGCGCTTGTATTTTGTATTTTGTATTTTGTTGTGCACTCTGCAATTTCACAAGTTCATGTGCTTTCGGTGCGCTCAAGCACAACAATTAGTGCATTCAATGTGTTCCCGGCATCTCTCACCTGTGCTCTCACCTGTCCCGCCCCGCCCCCTCCTCCTGTTAACCCCTCTGTGCCCTCCTCCTGTCAGCGAAATTTAACCCATGCACAAAAAGCTCCGCTGCAGAGCACCTGACAGGCAACTAAGCTGCCTGTATTTCACGCTAGAAAGCCAACAAAAAATAATATGTTTAATGTTTGTGAATGATTAATGGCACATTAGAATTGAAATTGTTTTTGGCCGCGGCAGCAGCAGCAGCGGCAGCAGAGGAATCCGTATCCAAACCCGAATCCGAATCCGTATCCGAATCCAAAGCGCAGCGGAGCAGTGTATACATTGCTATAATGTGCAAATATTTATATCCCCCCATATAGTATGTGCTCTTGGCTGCTGCTGCTAGCTGAGTGGAACAGGTGAGTGTTTATAATGTATCGCATATGCATGGCCAAGTGCGGAAAAGAGGCAAAAACCAGGCAGAAGATACACAGAAAATCGAGTGAGTATGTGCCCATATAATATAGTGCCCCGTACACCAAGGAAAATTATATAAAATATTTTTTTGTATCTTTAAAACAAGATAAAAAAAATTGTTTAACGTTCTTACTTGTGTTTATATATTACAGAAAAATTTATTTTCTTAAAAAACTATATGATAATCGCTTAGCTAATTTATTATTACTCCTTTGGTAATACCATTTTGTTCCGTGTATTTATTTATGCTTTTATAATACATATAATATTATTTTACTCCAAAACTATATGTTATTCACCAAGCTATTGCATTATTACTCATTTGGGAATGGCATTTTGTGCCGTGTACCACACCATCCATACCTTGCGATACCATCTCCCCGAGTATTTGCTTAGTCGTGTGTATTATTTCGGCTGCCAAGTTCCGTGCGGCTGTGTGTGTCCTTGGGGGCCCCCAATGCGTTATGATGGAAAATGGAAGATGGAAGAGCGGCCCCCAGCCGATGCCGGCAAACCCCAATTCAAGTTAAAATCCAAACGAACTTTGCCAAATTGCGAAAGCCACAAAACCAAAACATTTCGTCGCCTGCTGTTGAAGTTCCTTCGAGTTTTCCCAAGAAGAGGATGTCCAGGTCCCGGACCCGCAAGAAAGGCACATGGATAGATTCTCGTACTCCCCTCCGCCAAAAAACACACTCCCCCCAAAAGAGTTGGCAGAATTTCTTAATAAACTTTAATGACTGCGGGTGTCCCGGCATGTGCTTGTCACTTTGGCTCTGGGTGCAAGTGCAACTTTGATGGACTCGGGTTACCTGCGGACCAGGTTCTTTGCCACCGGCTCGTTGTTGCCAACTCGGGGCTTTTCTAGCCACAACTGGCGGCTCTCCAGGGTCGAAACAACAAACTGCTGCACATTTGGCAACTGTCTGATGTGTGTTATTACTCAAAAGTATTTAAACATTGCTACACTTCCTTAAATCATTTGAAAATAGTTTTGGCTGTCGGCAAATATAATAAATTTCTATTATTTCAACTCAAATTAAAAATATATGGCCTCTATTTTTTCAATAATATTTGGTATTCCAAACTATTTTGTTTTGCTAATTAATAAACGCCAAATTGAACCAACCCGTGCAAATATAATTTGATGCTTATGGCTTATTTTGAAAGGGAAAATAAAACATCGACTACGTGAAATTATTTATTGACAAATATTTACTATGTCGCCAAATATTCCCATTTAATTCGAATAAAAATAAATAAGAAAAGCTACATTTGACATTGTCATTAGACCAATACATTATTTAATATACGATTTGACTTTAGGCTGCTTTAGATTATTGAAAAATTATACATTGAAACTGTGCGGTGCTTGTTGTTCAAGTAGTTATTTGTAAGTCTTCTTATTAAGAAAATAGGTAAACAAAAATTTTTTAAAAGGATTTAAATAGACTTTTGGATAAATTTAGGTAAGATTTATTTTCTTTTAATATTTTTAAAGCTATATTTTAGCCCTCTATTGGTGGCACCACTCTGGCTTTCACCTGCTGGCTCCTCGAATTATGCAACGACTTGTCGGCCGACTACTTTAGACTCCCTCCGGACGTTTGGGCCAAGTTGGGAAACTGCTAGCCAAGCGCCGCAGCCTCGAAGATGGCCGTTTCAATTTCGCCTATAATTTACTTGACCATCACGTAGCAGAGTCACGCATGAGATGGGAGGTGGGTGGCCAGTGGGTGGTGAGGCCGTGCAACAAGCTATGGGGGTCATTGGGTGGCCGCTCATGCATTACTTATGAAATGACTCCGGTCCGATACAAGGTATCTTAGTTGCCATTGGCGGCATGTTCTCAGATACTAAATTGGAAACATCCCAATCAAATTCAAATACAAATCCAAATCAGAAAGGCATTCATTTGCATGCGGATTGACTTTTGAGATAGATATACCCATCTATTATGCATATAATTGCACTGGGATATCAATCTTTCGGCGCCGAATGGGAAAACTAAGTTGGTTTCGGGAGTTCAAATCGCCTGGGGAGCGCTCCTTAAATTTTCTTTAACGACTTTGATATGCACCTTTATGGAACTTTTGGGAACTATGTGACTTACCAAAACTTTGGAAAGGGGGAGAATGTTTGACTATAAACTGGCTTGACTTTTGCAGTTGCTTTCCGCTACGAGTTGTGAAATATTAAGGTATTATAATATTCAGCGCAAGTAAGCAAAACATAACAATAATCAAAACAGAAAGGAGCTTTCACGTTTCCAGCTTTATTTTTTTTCTGAAAAGAAATTACTGCTCATTGCTTTGCCAAGAACCAACCTTTGAAATAGCAATTCTTTTAGCCAATATTAAAAAAAAGGAACATTTTTTTCTTGCTACCAAAACATTTAACTGTGGTGAGACTATATAAAAAAGGATTTAAATAAAGGATTTAAAATGAATAAATGTATTTCTTTATTTAAGTTGCTAGACCGAACTGTTGAAAACTAAGACTTATTTTAATATTATTTGGATCTTAGTACTATACTTTACATCATGGTTAACCTAAATAAAACTTTCTGTTTCAACGTCAAGATCAGATAGTACATTGTTTGCTGCTTCGCAACATACCCTCCATAAATGATCAATGATTCCAGGTGAATTTACGGCGAAATGGTAATTCGGAATATCCCTCGAACATTTCCTCTCATCCATATGCATGTCTCTCTATAGTGAAACAAACGGCCATGACTCCTTCGCCTTGGCCCGGCCATTGTCAATGACTTTTTTATACGACTGCGATGCGGTTTTCGCCGTTTAATGGTCTGGGCCATAAAAAAGCCGGAACCCTCGTAACATTCCGCCCCTGCCCCGCCAACATCTGCAATCGTTTTATTTAACTGCTGACTTGTTTGCGCAAATTAACACATTTATTTACACCACAATTTGTTGCTTAAATATCACTATGGACGGCAGTCCATGTAGTGACGAAGCGCACCAGGAGAGTGTGCGAAGGCGACTACTATTATATAGCCGCAAAATTGAAAATCTGCTGTGATAGTCCGATCGTAATGAGTAATACACCAATCGAAAGGTATTGCAAAAACTTAAAGGATTGCATACCAAGACCTCAAGAAAATCAATTGGTTTGGGAAAGAGAGCGGTGAAAGTGTAAAAGTGAAAATTTAGAAATTTGGATCTGATGGGGCCGTTGGGGATAAATGCACCCTCGCAATGTTTTAGTAGTTTTTCTATTAAAAATTCCCGTCGAATGAGGGGTCATATGATAAAATCCGACGCTCCGTTCAAAAGTTATAGCCAAAATAAGATTTTCTTCTTCTTCCCAAAATGAAATAATTTGTCCCTTTGTTTGTGGGTATGCATCAAATCGTGGCTTTAGGATCCTGAACTAAATTTTACTGTGCTTAGCAGCAGGATATGAACAACGTTTGTTCTACAACTTTTGGAAAAACCCGCTAGTTTGGCGGGAAATCATTGAAAAAGCTAGATTTTGACGGCTTATAGTTTCTAAACGACCAAAGCTACAGACTCGTGCTACACCTCGTTAAAAAGGTAATTTAAAATGCTAATCGCGTTGCCTTGGGTAAAATTGGCTTAATGCAATAGTTTAAAATGTATGGCTAAAAGTTGTTTTTCTAAATCACTTTTTAGCTATTTTCTCAAAAACGGCTCTAACGATTTTCTTTACAACTTTAAACTGTATAGCCCTTGAGATTCCTTTAAATTTTGGTATATAACACATTACTGTAAAAGTCACGTTTAAAAGTTATTTTTATACGAAAATAGCCACTTTTGCCAGCTCGAACTACTAACGCTCCCTGAGTATTGAATTTTGTGTGAGGGTATACGAACTGTATTTTGGGGTCATGGAATCAGTAAATTTGCACTTAAGAGTTCCATAAAGGAATCTTTTTGTTCTACGACTTTTGGAAAAAGCCGCTACTTTAGCGGGAAAAGCTAAAAATAGCTAAATTTCGTTAGTTTGTAAGTTCAACACTACTGAAGGTACAGACATGTGCTAAAACTCGTTTAAAAGGTATTTTGATATACTTCATCGCCTTTTTGACTTAATTCGTTTAAATACAATGGCTTACAAATTATGATTGACCAATTTAAATTTAAATGTATATATTAGCTCCTATGAGAGCAAATGTAAACAAACAAAAACTTCTGATATCAAATAAAAACACCTCTTAACGAGGTAAAAACTAGTGACGATCGCACCTTCAACATACAAAAGTTCTGATATCAACATTTGTGGCGAAAAATTATTACACTCGTCACTAAATAGACTTTCTAATATTTTTTTATTCGGCACGCTGCAATAGAAAATGCCTGTAAAGGGAAAAAGGCTGGAATAGTTTGCTAGGGCGGGCCGAATGAGAAAATATTAGAAAGTCTATTTAATGACGAGTGTAATAATTTTTCGTCACAAATGTTGATATCAGAACTTTTGTATGTTGAAGGTGCGATCGTCACTAGTTTTTTACCTCGTTAAGAGGTGTTTTTATTTGATTTATAGAAAGCGGAAGCGAAGCGCTGCCGAAAAATAAATTGAGCAAGGGCAGTAACATTAAAAATTTTTCGTTTATTTCATATACAATAAGTACATCCAGATAAACATATACATATCCAAGTCCATACAATACACATATACATAGAGGCATATATATTCGCGAATACACATGCAGAGACGATTTTCTTTGTAATCATATCACACACACAAACGATATGGCACGCATACTGGCTCGTATGCAGCATAATTGAGAGTAAATTAGCGCTATACTTGTATATAGGAATTGCTCAGCCCGGGCGCAAGTAATCCTCCTCCTCCTTCTCGTCCTATTTCCATTACTATCTATTTTCCCATCATCACACTCAGAAAAAATTTCGGCCTTAAAAAAGGTAGCCTAGTTTTCTTTTTAAATAAATTTATGATGACGTAAAATAATTTTTTAAGGTTAAGGGTAAAATATGTATTAAAAATGATGATATTTTTGAGATATTCTGAGCTAAATAATACACTTTTTAAGATATATTTTACATTACATATACAGCATTTTTTAAAAACCCTATTTATTTCTGAACTTTAATGAAAAATCAAATTTTAAAATTATAAAATGTCGTTGGTTTTATTGACAATGTAATTTATTTTTAAATTTTAATGTCTGAAACTTGTTGTTTTTAGGAGAACTATTGCTTAATACTAATTGATTTTTTACAATATAAGTAAGAAATAAAAATATAGGAAACTCTGAATAATTTAAAGGACTACATTTTTTTAAACCTATCCATTTTTTAAATATTCAATTTAATTTCCGCACAATTTCCGATTTTTTTCTGAGTGCCTGCGCATCCTGGGGCTCATCCCCACATTGATATGGTTCCGCTTAAGCGAGAACGCTTAAATTCGCTGGATGTGGCAATTGTTGCATCGCCCGGCCCACCACCCCGTGGCCAGGCCATAAAAAACGCCGAGCACGCCGAGCAGCCAGCTCCACGAGGTGGGCGCTCGGGCGGCGGGGGCGTGTCCTTGCAGCGCCAGCTGCTCCTTCTCCAGGCATAGACGGAACTCATCGTAGTCCAGGCGCGTGATGGCGCAGTAATGATTGAGCCTGCAGGGGCCGGGGCAGGCCGACCCGTATCGCACGTCGTTGGCTCGGTGGTATCTGGGTGGGAAGAAGAGGGGAAAAAGGAGTGAAAACGGGGAAAAAATAGCACTGAGTGGGGAGCAAGGGTGTCATTTGGAATCCCCTGTTTGTTTTAGCCTGTACTGCCGGCCAGCCGGGCTTTCATAAATGCTCTTAGCCCAGCCGCTATCTCTCATTTTGATTTACATATTGCAGCTTCTCTGGGGCAGGTGGCCTCTCCTGCTCCTCAACGAGTGCCTGATTGAAGGAGTCTACCTGTGTCCCCTTAAATTCTGCTCTAAACGGATTCCCAGTTAAGCTCTACAGTTGTGCAAATAACTTATAAATTCGTGTATTCCGGGTGTTTATATTCCAAGTAAATGAATGTTAAAATTGTATTTTAATCAGGGACCGTAAATAACAGTTATTTGTGATTTTTATTTTAAAAGGCCTACTGAGATTTGTACAAGTTTTAATCAACAATTTAACTGGTTTTTATGCCTTTATAGACATGAAGTAATTAATTTACAGTTTTTTTGAAATGCATATACTTTGTGGACAAGAGAAAAAAGGTTATTTTTGCCTTTTAAAACCAAATATCACAGTAGTCTTTTTAAAATTTAAATATCACAAATAACTGTTATTTACGTTTGATTTCAATGGAATTTAAGTCTTACATTTTCCTTAACTGTTTAAACAGTTGATAACCAGATGGGAGTTTAAAAAAACAAAAGGCTTTTGAATTTAAATATCAGATCAGAAACTTTTCCTTATAAAAAAACATTTCTTTTAACAAACGTACCTCTTTCAACAAAAACTGTTGGGGCACTGGCAATAAAATGCACAATTAGTTGTGATAAGTTTTTCAGCGAATTTTCAATTTTAAATGGATTTATTTGATCACATTAAAGAAATAAGTTGACTATTCTCATTTTTTTGCCAGCAAGCTTTGTAAAGTGAGAACTGTATTTTAAAGAGGGGGAGCAGGTAATGAAAAAGGGATTTGTTTTTTAAGTATATATGTACTTTTAATCGGAAAATGCTTTTTGGGTATAAATTAATTTCTAAATATTTTCTTTTGTATATTGGATTAATATAGCGTAAAATACCAAAAAGTAAAATGGCTTTTGGGCTTTACATTATAGAAAATGTGGATTCTTTTCGGACATTAATTTATGCCGTTACTAAATAAAACAGTGAAAGAGACTATAATAATTGCACTAGGTTTTACAAAAAAATATTTACATTTTCAAAAGAAGTTAAGGTTCTTAATTTGATGCATATATTTTGTACTGGACTCATTAATTCCCATCGTAAGTATCGCTTGCACAGGCAAATCTATCTTTCAGCTCCAATGATCAATCAACCAGGGCATAATTCGCCCCTAATAACTCACCTGGTGAACCAGGGGGAATCGGCGTCCGGAAAAATGCTCGGCGAGATTATGAAGGGCGCCGGCGGAGATATTCGGCAGGGCGTAGTGGTGCGTCAGGTTGTACTCCAGCTGCCAGGTGGGCTCGTTGGCCCGGTTGGCCAAATGCAGATCCAGCCAGAACTGCGTGTAGTCCAGCACCTGGCCGCTTCCCGTGTCGAACTTGTAGAGCCGCAGGGCGGGATTATTCGGTGAGCCGATTCCGGCCTTGCCGGGCACAATCGATGGGGCAATCATCAGCCACGAAATGGGATTGCCTGCCAGCGGAAGCAACAATGTTAGTTGTGTACAATATTTAACGAATTTTTCCCCGGCCATATATACAGTGATTTATTAAACAAGAAAATGGATATGGAAAAATCCTTTTGAATTGCAAAGTGTTGGGAATTTTCGGGATTTGTTGAAATATGTATACTAAAATTTTCTGCAAAAAAAAAATATATAATATAGAGGAACTTATACAAATAGAATAAATAAATATTTATTTTTTATAAAACCAACAAAATATTTAGAAATGGAATTTTAGAAAAAATAACTATATATATATTTTAAAGGTAATTTTAAAAATTGTAATATTTAAAATAAATGTTTGTAAGAAAATATTTTTTGATTTTGATTGACTTTAAAGTAAGTGGCAAGGACTATACCGCACCTTTGGCATCGTAGATCACGCGAAAGGTGTCCGAGTGAAGGTGACCGAAGAACTGACCCTGGATGACTTTGGCAAATCGTCGCACTATCTCCAGGTAGCGCTGGTTGTTGTGCTCGGTGAAAGTTAACTGGTTGCGCTGAGATCCCATCTGACGTTCATCAACGCCCGGCGGCATATGGCCCACTATATACACCTGGGGACAAAAGTCAACAGTTTCAGTTCATTTAATCCGGCCGATGAATAAAATGAAATCAATTCTGCCTGCTGCAAATTAAATATTATAATTAATCAAAAGGGCAGCCAGCTATCCGATTGGATTTTCTGGCATGTGATAGCCCAAAGGCAGGGAAATAAAAATATTGAATATTTACGTATGAAAAATGATTTTAAATATCTCGTTAATTTCAGGAAAAAGTAGCCGTTACGCCTGGCAAATTTAAATTTTCAATCAAATTAAAATATTTGTGGCATAGTTAAGCTTCATTTGTTAATTTCAGACATTTTTGGGTTTAAATTTAAAATGTGTTGCATTAAAATATGTAAAAGATTAATATGTAACATTAAAATAAATTGGATAAAAATATTGATAAATGGTAAAAATAATATCAGTTTTATTTCGCTACCGTTTCCTGTTTCTCCTCGGACTTGGTAAGCACCTCCTCCAGCCAAAGCCACTGTTGCTCCGCCAGCAGTTCGTCCTCCGCCGAAATTGAGCTCACGGATGCTTTGGGCTCCGTGAAATATTCCGTTGGCCATCGCAGACTGTGCGATGTCCTGATATCCGGATCGGAATCATGCCGCATGAAATTCGTGTTCAGGGCCACGATGCGCAGGCGGCTCTTGGTCTGCTCGATGGAGTAGTAGCCGCCCTGGTCGAAGGTCACCAGGGCCTCCGAGGGCAGCCAGTGGCGCCACAGTTCCCCCAATCTTCGGTAGCTACCGCTCCCGTCCTCGTGACCCAAAACCGGGAAGATGAACTGCGAGGAGAAGCTGCGACCCAGCAGTTCGGTGATATTCCGCAGGATCTCGTGCTGCTTCTGCTCGGAAAGCGGTTGGGCGGAATGGGAGAGGGCATCGCCGGTCCACAGGACGAACTCCACATTGTCGCCCTGCTTGGCCTTCATGGTCTTCACTGCGGACTCGATCAGACTCCACGGACTGTCGCAGTTGTAGTGGCCGAAGGGACCAGGCGCCTCTGTTGCCGCATTGTTGGCATTTGAGCCGGAAACCGAGCGAGCCAACTCCCAGCAGCTCCTGTAGATATCACCTTGCGTGGAGTAAAATGTGTCCAGGTGCAGGTCACTAATGTGCCAGAAGAAAGCCTATCAGGAAATAAGTATAAATAGGTAGAAAAATATAATTAGCATTACTATTAACATTTTGTAGAAGAACATTTTAAAATCGAACCATCCATTCAAAAGTTATGAGCAAAAATGAAATAGCCGCTAGATGGCGCCAGTAGCTTTGGCGACTGCATAACTCCATCTCCTTCGAACTTCCTTTAGCTGAGTAACGGTTTTTATTATTTTTGATTTTAAATTGATTAAATTTGGATTATCTGTATTGATAAATTCAATATTTAATTCTTTTCCTTTTTAAAATCCCTGTAACATTTTGTATGTATTTCTCTTCTGTGAGCAGGGGATCGAGATTAGATTTTGACTTTGGCTTATTCTAAGGGCAATTCCTGGCCGGGAAAGGCCATTTCCCCGGGTATTTGCCCGCCGGCTGGTCGGCTATAAGGAAAACCTGGGAGTCCTAGGAGATTTCCCTGCAGTTGGCTGGTTGACTGACCTGAGCTGAGCTGAGCCGAGCTGGTTTCTACCTGGCCCAAAGCGCGAAGTCACAAAGTCGGTCAATTAGCGAGGCGACGTTTTAAGCGCCGGCCAAGAGCAGAGATCAGTTTCATTTGGCATGCCCATCGATCGGTTTGCCAGGAGCAAGAAGAGCTATTCGCGATAGGACCGAGTACCAGAGACATTGGAGGCATTTCATTTATGCCCGGCGAGAGAACGGACGGAGGAGCAAAAGATCGAGCAGGATGAGCCTGATCAGATTGGGGCTGGCGCTGCTGCTCCTGGTGGCCACCGTGTCGCAGTTGCTGCAGCCGGTCCAGGGACGTCGGAAGATGTGCGGCGACGCCTTGATACGGGAACTGAATCACATTTGCATCAAGGGCTTTCCATCCAGACTCAAGCGGAGCAATGGTGAGTGGCTGGCTTTCCCTTCTATTATATCGCACATCTAACTAACTTTCAAGAAGTGCCCAAGGATAGAGTGCGAACCCTGATCCGCAGGCTCCGGCCGCTGGAGGAGGAGGACAAGGAAAAGGAATCGGAACAATTGGATGCCACCGGAAGTGGACGCAAGTTGCGGCGCCACCGACGAAACATTGCCCACGAGTGCTGCAAGGATGGCTGCACCTACGACGATATCATGAACTACTGCGCCATATGATCAGCACCATCTTTCCAGATACCAGACACCAGATACCAGATGAACCCGATTTGATTTATATAATTAAATAATTGGCGGCAGGGGGCACACGGGGGCAGGATTGGCCCGAAAAGCAGGACAATTTCCAACTCATTTCAATACACTTAGACCTAACTATAAACGTAATCCTATTCCCAAATATTTCATTGTAAATTCCTAGTGGAAGCAAATAAAGTTACTCTCCAAACAGCAGCAGCAGAAATAAAAGCAAAGTCCTTGGTTTTTTCGGCCCGGCGGCATTCCAGCTGTGCGGCATGGGGAATCCCCGGCCCATCAACACCCAAAACAACCCAAACAGCGAGCAACCCACAGGCAGCTGCCATTCAGCACCTACCGTGCGGTGCCCTTGTTTTCCGAGAACAATAATGAAAATTATGAATTCTTAATTAGATGACGTTCTGATTTTAATAAGCAAAACAAAGGCCGAGGCGAAACGAACGAGGGAATACACTCAAATTCAGTTTCAGTTTCGGTTTCAATTTGTTTTGCCTTTTTTCTTGGGCCTGACTTTTGTTATCGACCGATGGACAAACAAGTAAACAACTTCCAATCAGCAGCAGGGTTTTCCCACAGATAAAACCGTATTAAAACAAAGATTTGCACTGATAATAATTCAGGGCTTACAGGTAGAAGTCTACCTGATTTCCAGGGACTCACCGGCTCAGGCGTGGTATCATTTTCAAAAGGGACTTGGGGAAACCATAAAGTACCCGAGCACTTAGCCAAGATAATGAGATAACAAAGGCGTGTTATTGTTTTCGAGTTAAAAGCAATGGAATTAGTTAGCTCTTGTTTTCATTTGAATGGGAAAATGACGACTCACTTGGAGAAGCGGCAAAAGTGGTTATTAAAATCTGATTAATTGTGTTTTTGCCTTATCATTTTAGGGAATTATGAAATAGGTTTGTTTTCGTTGAAATATTTTTAGAAATTTTAGTAGTTGAAAAACTATTTAGATATATTTTCAAGTACAATTTTTTTTTTTAAATATTTATATCAATATTTATTAATAGGTCTCTTGGAAGGGATTGTAGGCAGTGCAAATTAGATAATAAATGAATTATTAAAATGACATTAAATTTGTGAGGTTTGAATCCTTGTGTTAAAAGTCCGTTAATGCAATATGCAAAAGCTTGTTAAATCTGTGAAATATAACATGACGAAGTTTTCCTGCTTAAAGTTTCTGAACTCCAGATGAGTTTCGACACACCAAGTCAAAATTGTTGAACACCCCCGACTGCCGAAGGGTGCTCGATGCACGTCATCTTGTTTTTAAGCAATCAAGATCCGTGCGTTATTTCTTGGGTGAGAACGTAAACAAACGTCAGCTGATATGCGTAAGACCCCCCAGGCCCATCATCATTTCAGACATCTCATGCCTGCACGAAGGGATAAATAACAACCCACACCGAACCGGGGCGAGAAACTAAACCAGACCGAACTATGGTGCTAACTGACACCCTGGCTAACGCATTTTGACAGTGCTCAGACGCTGGATGCGCGCACCAGACATCCAACTCGGTTCCAATCCGATTCTGCTCCGTATAAAACCCTCTGCCGATGGCCGGGAGCCAAACAGTTGTGGCCGGGCCACTAGACAGACATTAACGCCAGAGAGGGACATTATCCGAGAGCACTCACTCATGGGCAGCGAAATGGGGCGGAACAGGGACACGAGGATCCTACTACCCAGCCTGCTCCTGCTAGTCCTGATGATCGGCAGTGCGCAGTGTGCCATGAAGCTGTGCGGCGGTAAACTGCCCGAAGCCCTGTCCCGGATCTGCGTTTATGGCTTCAACGCGATGACTAAGCGAACTTTGGGTATGCGAAAGACACTAATGGGATACGATAGTTTATTTAAGAGAGGGAATCTGACAAGGAAGAGTTTGTTAAATTGCTAGAAAGAAAGAAAAAATGCTATATTTTTTAACCCAAAAAATTCAGTGTTTTGTTCGAAACAATGGAAATATTGATCCAAATATAGAATGTCATACCTCGCTAAGGTCGTAATTTCAGTCCCAATCGTTTGGCATTAAAACCTAAATATTTCAATTTTCGTCATTTTTTTTGCAAAAAATTTGATGTTACCCCTTATAAAAAATATAAAAATTGGCAAAATATTTTTTTTCTAAATCAGCAGAAAAGAAACAGGGATTAATTTTTTAGATTTTCAGCTGCCCGAAACTGAATGTTTTTTTGATTTCGGACAATTTTCGGGCAAGTTATAGCAAAAAGAAACACAAAGAAAAATCCTACATTTACCAAAAACACAGATCCTGATTTTTCACCCAAAAAATGCAGTATTTTGGCCAAAGCAATGGAAATAATTATCCAAATATAGAATGTCATACCTCGTTGAGCTCGTAATTAAATTCCCTATCGATTCGCATTCAAACCTGAAAGTTTAATTTTTTTGTCAATTTTTCGCAAAAAATCATGATGTAACCCTTATAAAAAAAGTACAATTTTGCCAAATTATTATTTTTTCTAAATCGGCAGAAAAGTGACATGAATAAATTTATTAGATTGTTATCTGCTAAGAACAGTGAGTTTTTTTATTTTTGTTCGATTTTTATCCAAGTTATAGCAAAAAACACACCCAGATCCTGATTTTTTAGCCAGAAAATGCAATGCTTTGGCCGAATCAATTGAAAAATTGATCCGGATATTCGTGTTTAATATTATTAAAAATATTAACTACAATATTAATAATATTTCACCGAACATCCACAGATCCCGACAACTTCAACCTTATAGAGGCCGCACCACTTGGCTTGGGCTTCGAAGACGGTTCGCTTCTCGAGAGGTTGTTAGTTGAGAGTTCCGCCCAGATGCTGAAAACACGACGACTGCGGGAAGGCGTCTTCGACGAGTGCTGCTTGAAGTCTTGCTCCATGGACGAACTCCTTAGATATTGTGCTCCCAAACCCAAAACGTGAACCTTCTATTAACCTTCCGACGACACCTAAGATTGCCGAAATGATATGATTCGCCTGGGACTAAAAGTCACGTATTCGTAGTTGTTAAGTCGTTGTGGAAGCTTACTCAAATCCAGATTTGGATATAATATATATGTGCACATGCGAGTGGGATGTGTGCGCATAATTTATGATCGGAAATCAGAGACAGACACGCGAAATGAATCGGAACACGGGATGTTATGCATGTAGATATGGCCTGAATACATCGGCTGGGTATAAATTATTAAATAAATTATGTATTCAAACTGCTGCAGATTGGCCAACTTGATTGGTAATTAAACGGGTATTACATTGATTTTTCATTGTCGTTCATTGCAGTTAATTATTTATTGTCCCAGCGGCCGGATTTCTGTTTGGGGCTAAGTTTAAAAGGAAATAAAGAATTTTCGACGAGCTTGTTGTACTTTGTGTCGGCAACAGATGAGAAAATGATCGATGGTTTATTTTGTTTTTTTATTAATATTATTTAAAAAATATATTGGGTACCTCCACTTGATCACAAAGAACTTTCCGACTGATTGCCGTGCAACAACAACATATTGGTGCAATTAGTCAATAATATATTATTATAATATAATTTACCCCACAAATTGGTCGGTTAATGTGTGTTATGAGTTTCGTGGTGTCAAACAATAAAATATGTACTCTTTAGTATCTTCTTTGTTTTCAAGCTTTCATGATGTCTGTACATTTTAATAAGATTTTTTGTGCTTGCTGTTTTTGCATTATTAATCAATCAGGTCTTTGTTTAATGTTTAGACTATGTCTTAAACGTTTTTAAATACTTCTGAACTCCACAGAACCTTTCGAAGTTTGAGTTTACAAATATAAATTGCACTTCTTTGGATAACGAGTTCGATAGCTTCGAATATTGCTTTCTTAAGTCGGTAAATCGCACGTACAAATACGTTTCAATAAAAGTGAATTTATTTAAAACTCCAGTGACCAAAGTGAAAGTGAGTATAGTATTCTTCTGTGTATATTAACCTAAATACTAATTTTCTGCTCTTTTATTTTAGGTACACTTTTCGTTGAACAAACGATTTAGTGGATACAGACCTTTCTTATATAATGTCACAGTGGATGCCTGTAGATTTCTTACAGAATCCTGCATCTAACCCAATAGTTAATTATTTTTATGGATTCCTGACAACCCACACAAACCTAAATCACACATGTCCTTTTGTTGTGAGTAGTATGTTTTGCCTTTGGAAAAACACTGATTTTCTTATTTTTTAGGCTGATATCCTTTTTGATAAAATTAATGTCGAGTTTGTAAACCACAGGTTTTCAAAAGTATTACCCTTTCCCGAGGGCGATTATTATTTGGAAAGCAATTGGATGGCATATGACATAAATCGAGCTGTTATAAAAGTGTATGGCACTTTATCTTGAAGAACATTAAAAGTCGTAAGTTCTTCGAACTAAATTTTGGAACGGATATTGGATTACACCTCAATATAAATTATTTGGATTTTTAGGGGTCTTACTTTAAATGAATACTTCACTAAAATCAATAGTCGAGTTGGGTTCAATATTCATTCACTTTAAGTTTTAGATCCGCGCATGTTAAATAATTTCATTATAAAAACAGGAATTTACATTTTAACATTTATAATAATGGGTCTATACCCATAATTTAACTACTTATCTCTCGTATTATAATGTCGTGCTAAAGTGATTTTAATGACATACAGGAAAACTCATTATTCAAATGTTTAGTAATAAATAAATTTCTTGGTTGATTATTAAATATAATTATTAAAGTATAATTATTAAAAAATAATGATGTTTCAACAGTCCCCTTTCCCACCAAAGCTATAATAACACGGTATTTCAGCAGCATTTGTTTGCTAAAGCCCAAAGCAGGATATATTTATTTGTTTTACGATCGTTTCATAAAGTGTAACATGCAACAAGCTGTATAAAAACGTGGTTTCAAATATATATTCACATGGTTGGTTTGGAACCAGATCCAGAGATAATCAGGTAGAGCCGGTCAATTTTCGTAACGGGACGTCGTTTTTAAGCATCAGTCAACCTAATGGCTTTTGGGTACGGAGCAGTATTCCTGGATGACAGCAAAGCTGCAGGGACTTTTGCAGCACCTATTCACAATTCCCTGCTGGCGAGTGCGTCGCTGGATTTCGGCCAGGGAACTGAGGACCCTCTCGAAGGAGTTGCCGCGGAAGAGCCGACTGGGCTCCGGTTCCGAGATGGAGTTGTCCTCCTCGAAGTTCTGAACGTACTGCAGCGGGTCGAGGAGGTCCAGATCATTGGACTCTGATAGGAAAAATACCAGGGAGTTCAGAGTGTGGTTTCTGGATAGCCAGAGGCTGATGAAAACTTACGCATTGCCCGTTTCTGTTGGCCAATCACGGGATTGAAGGTTTCACAGGCGTAGTTCATCATTTCGATGAGCTTCTCGCCGCAACTCCGCATTGCGTTGGCCTGTGCTGGGGAGCTGGCCAGGATAATCACAGCAGACAGCAGGATGAAGGACAAAGGCTTGCACATGGTTTTAGGTTATTTGGGCTGCTTTACGATCGAACGGATTAACTGGGGTCGAGTCGGGTCGAAAGGTAACTGATGCCTTTTGGCCCAAAGGAGCTGGCTTTTATACAGCTCCTCGGGCTCTAAAATTGGGTCTCGGTCTGGGTCGGGGTCCTTATACCCGTACATGTTATCCTCAAAAGTCAGGGTGTCAAATTGTATTAGATTGCGATGAGTGCATTTTGGAGTTCCCTTTCTTGGCTCACAGGACTAACGCCTGGCTAAACTCGTTCAATGTCAAAGCTGACTTATGCAAATGGCTATTGGAAAATTGGGCGGTGGGCGGAGGATGTGGGCGTCTGCTGTCAGCCAATTAAACAATTTATGTATAAACAGCCGGGCCGTGCTAAGCCCTGCATTTATGAATACCAAATGAGTCCTTGGTTGAGAACCCCCCCTCGTACTTACCAGTGCGCGCCTGTGCCAGGCCGGAGTAGGCCAAAAGCCAGAGCAGCCAGCCGAAAGGAGCCAGCATCTTGGCAACGATTTACGCCTCCTTAGAACTTTTCCTTTTCCTTCTCCCTCTGCTTTTCCTTTGACGGTTGTCTTGGCTCACACAAATTCTTTTTGCACTGTCTACTTTTATTCATTAGTCAAAGTTGGTGCTGCATAAATAAGTGATTACGAATCGGATTACGAATGCTGTCGGTATGTATATGCCATGTATGTGTATGCATGCTGGGTAATGGGTATTCGGTAATGGGTAGTGGGTATTGGGGTAATGAGTGAGTTAAGTGCTCTATTTGGGCAGGCAGTAGGCGGATAGCTCCTCGTAGGTGCAGGACTTCACGCAGCACTCGTCGTAGACGCCGCCGGGCATGTGTCTCCTGTGGCGACGCGTCTTGATCAGGACCTCGGAGCCGTACAAGTTGGTCAGCAGCGGACTGAAGGAGTAGCCTGCCCCGGCCAGCGATTGCCACACATTATCCTCCTCCTCGGAGGAGGAGGTGGTGGAGAATAGGAGGCCTCCCCGCTTCTGTGGCAAAGTGTTGTAGCCGTGGGCACACACCACATCCATGGCATCGGACAGGGCCGGACCGCATAACTTGTGGTTCCCGGGGGGCAGCTGGTGACCACTGGCGCCCGGTGTGACCATCATCGCTACTCCAGTCAGGATGGCGATTAGCAGCGGCAGTTGCCGGAGGCCATGAACTGCACCGTTGTCCTGGCAAAACATCTTCGCTCTGTACTGATTGCTGTTTGCTGCAAGTGGTATTTATACCACTGAATTTGTTGCTAGCGAATGCAGTTCAATGGCCTCTTGGTTTCTTGCATTGCATAAAGTCTATAAAGTCCTTTTACCAACTATATTTCAGGCATGGTTTCACCCAAAAATGCACGCTTCTATTTTTAGTTCTTCTTTGAAATTCGAAGGAAATACCATGCACTGTTATTTCAATTCTTAAGTTTTCTGATTTTAAAAAAATACGAAAAAAAAGTCGCACTAGCTGGGCAACGGTTATTATTTCAAAAGGTTAATGTAGTACATTTTAATAACCTCTTTTCTTGATAGATTATATAGATAGGAAACGATTACTTTATGTGGTATACCTATTATATTTTCCCCAATTAATTGGTTTGAGTGTAATCACCGCCTCCAAAAATTCCGCCCACCGTATAACCCTTTCGTTTAACCTGTTACTTTGCCGCTAAGAGGCTCTGACTGCTGTCGATTGCGATTACGATTACGCCCCCCGATTTAAGCGATTTCCGCGGGAGGAGCGGCGCAACTCGACGGCTGACAGAGTGGCAGCCTCATTAGCATGTCGTGGCCAGGTGGAAAGTATGCTTCGATGAGGCTCCTCAGTGGCAGAGGCAGTGTGCGAAATCGCTCCGATCGCCGACCGATTGTTGGGCTGCCTGGCGATGCCAACAGTTGGTTGCCAGCGCTGCACTCGAAACGTTTTCCCCCGTTACCGCAAAAGCTCCGGAAAAGCGAGGAAACCTAAAAAAAATTCGCGAACGAAATCGAAAAGATCCAAAAAAATCGGAATAAATCAAGGAAAATGGTGGTCGACATCAAGATGTGCCGTTTTGATAATGTGCCCTGGGGCTTTCGACTCGTGGGCGGGGCGGACTACGACTATCCGCTGACGGTGGTTAAGGTTAGGCCCGATTCGCAAAGGAACGAAATCTATATAGTGCCCCTCTCACCTCAACTGTGTCACCTGGCCCCTCCACCTGTGTGGTTTCGTTTGTGGTTTTGGAAAAACTATCCAACTATCTATATCTAATCGCCTGGCGGATTAATTCGGTGTTTTTCGATACGCCTTTTTTTCGGCTGCCATTACGTAACGCAGTGCGTGTGTCCGTTCGGATTCGCTGCATTGGCAAATTAGTTAATTAAAGTAATTCCTCGCAGGCCAGTGGTCTTTTGTTTATCTAATCGACAGCGCCATGTATTTGCCGCTAATGAGCCGCATAATGGCAGCGGCAATAAACTTATTCAAATTTTAATTGTGTTTCAGTTGCAGTCGCGCTTTGTTGCATGTGCATAAATTGCATTTGGCCATTCGCTATTCGCATTTTGTAACATTGTGTTGACAATAGCAGCAACAACGGCCAAACATCGGCGCAAATTCGAAACAAATGTGATTTTTAATTGGCAAACTGTGAAACACACACACAACAAATGACCAAAAAGCGAGGGCCGCTAAAAGTCCATTTCTCGCGTTTTGAATAAATCAATTTAAGCCGCAGCATATAATAAACATTCAAGGAGAAAGGTCATAAATTGTATTCTACTTTGTACATATATTTTTTTGTTGTTTAAAATTTCATTTATTTTACATAAACAAATTATGCTTAATTTGCACTTAAAGCGGTGATCAATTTAAAATATGCTTTATCATTTCTATTCTGTTTTAATTGGAATTATGAAAATTAGCCTACATTAACAGTGATGGAAAAATAAGGTGCTTTCAAGATTTATTATTTAATTAAATAAAAACCAAAAAACAAATTATCAGGCTATCAATATTAAAATAAATATTCGAATCAAAACTGCTGTCTTGCTGAATAATTAAAAATCTTGAATTATATTTCATTGGCACCATATTATTAAATTTAATTTTGTTTAACTTTGGCTTACAAGAATGTAAACTTTAAGAAACTCAAAAAGGCACATATTTCAGCTTGGGTCCATACGACTTTATGAAATGTGCAAACACACACCTCCGTATATTGGCTCTGCAAACACTAAACAATCCTCGGTAATCTTTTGAAAAACCTCTGTTTATTCTAGCACTCTTCACTCTGCTTCCTCCCTTCTCATACAGTCCCGTATACATATGTATATTCAAGCTAAGCCCTAAGCCTGTGTTCTATAAATATTCGCAACCTCCGTCGATGTCGAGTGTTTGCCCTGCGAATTCACCGCTGGAAATTGACTCCGCCATAAGTGAAATGCAAGAGACCCCTGGGAGAAGAAAAGACCCCCAGCTCGGTGGGGGTGAATCTCCTGCTATTGCCACCTCCCCCACTTTTTTCCGCCTCCTTTTGCGGCTGCTCGGTTGCAGTATTTGCATTACTAAGTCCTCTTGGCAGCGAGTGTCGTGACTTTCTGGTTATGAGCCCGGCTTTCGCATAACGGAAACGACAACAATCGCCGCGAAAACAAAGGCGTTTATTTGCTCTCGAAAGTGTTACAAAACCACTTGAATTATACAATAAAATACTGCGAACTTTTAAGATATTCGCCCTATAAATGTGAATTTCATATTCATTTATAGGTTGTTTCTAATTGCGAACCATTTACACTCTCTAAATGATAACATTTTTAAATTAATGCCTACCATTTAAATGCTCAATTTGCGCCAATTCGTCTGTACTTTATTACCCCACAAAAGCCATAAAGCTTATATTGTATTTAGTTGTTATTGTTCTCACAACTTTTTAGTCATCAAGTGGGGCTCACTTTGATTTATAGTAGTAAAAATGAAAATTTTAAATACGAGATTTTTTACATGATGGCTTTCCGGAAAATAAATTCCAAAGCACCGTAAATTTGTGATTCTAATAGAGCATAAACATGGTTGTTTAATTCTAAAGCTTATGGTTTATCTAAATAAACTCTATTTATGCCCATTACGAAATTATGTAAATAGTTTTTTTTTCTTCATAGCGGAAACTATTATAAACATTGTTATATCTGAGTGGTTAGACATGGGTAATTCACTTAACTCAAGCTGCCACTTCTTCTCGAGCACCCCTCGTTCTGATCGCCCCCAAACGGAACCCGCCTCTTAGGCATTGTCTTCGGTTCGCTTGGATGTGCGTGCCTGCGCTGGGGTCTGGGTCTCTTGGTCTTCTGGTCTTTGTTTTGTTGACATTTGGCGCGCGTTTTATTTTTATGCACTTAGCACGCGACGTCGCCGTCGTTGGCTAATAGAAATTCTCCCATTATCGCATCCATTGTGCGGCTATCTCGGCCTCGCACTCATTTATCCGCTGGCACGGGGCATCCGTATCTCTCGGATGGCTCGGTATCCGCATCTGAATCTAAACATGTCCACATTCTCAAACGATAGGTGACCGAGGGCAGCATTGCTGACGAGGCTGGACTGCGGGTCGAGGACATCATCGTGCGCATCAATGACACGGCTGCCACGCCCCTCAGCCACGACGAGGCCCACCGCCTCATTATGAACAGCGGCAGCGTCTTCTACTTCGGCGTCTACCGGTGAGCTTTCCGCCCTTTCCTTTCCTTTCCTGTCCTTTCTTGGCCGTGGTCCTTGTGCTACGCTCCTTTGTATCCCATCCGCCGAGGACCATTTATCACAGCTGAGCGGGCTAAAAACCCAAGAACGTTTCCTAATACCCTTGCGGCGGCAGCTCTAAGTTCTCAAGGAATTCACAAAGCACAAACGTTGGCTTGTCTAAATATTTATGGTACTCTGTTTCTAAAACCAGTAGTTAAATCTATTTGCGCTGGAAACAAAATAATACTCGATTTGAGAACATTTTATATATTTTTTTTAAGTATTTTCCAACAAGATCTAATAAAAATTAGAGATGATTTATACCCAAAAACTCGATATGAATCGGTCAATTTGACCTTTTTAAGATCATTTTTAACTTGATATGGGGCCGGTAATGTGTATGTTTAAAAATCTTATTTCTGACCAAAACCTACACTGTGCGAGCGGAAAACATGTTGAGTACGTCTTCGAATTTCGAATCAGTCTTTTCCCTTTCTCTGTTTTTTTTTGTTTGCCTTTTCGTTAGAGAATCTCCGGAGATTCGGCAAATGATATTATTTAATGTAATTTATGAATATTTCGGTAAACGATTGTGGAATACCGAAAATTCCTGACTTTCTTTTCCCTTTGTATAAGATGTTATTCAGGCTTTAATAAAATGCTTCTATTTTAAAAAAAGATAAGCCTTGTAAGCATTGAGAAACCAAAAATAATTTAATTTGTAAACTAATTAAGCCTCAAGTTAAATAGTTTCTGATGTATTTGATACCAGCTTTGAAAAATCTTAGAGTGTCCCTGAAATTATAAGCCCCAAGAAGGATATCCCAAGCATTGTTACTACTTATATTTTCATGAATTCTGCTCATTTTTTCGGCACTGATCCACTTGCAGGGAGAACGAGGAGGACGCCTACGAGTGCCTGAAGAGGTTTCCCACGAGCGAGGGTTCGTTGACCAAGTCACCGACGCCATTCGTTTCCCCATCGCCGACTCCATCGCTGTCCCAGCTGACGGAAGCCACAAATGCACGAACTCCGGAACCGGAGCCATTCGTCCCGCCTCCCAGGGAATTCGCCCCCATTACGGTGCCTTCTGTGGACGTGGACGTCCTGGCGGAATGTCGCCAAGCCCGTGTCGGAAGTGCATTCGGAAGACAATCGCGGGGCTGTGCCAGCTGAGGCACAAGAAGGTCTCTACTTGCCCGATTTGCCCGATCGCCCGTGCTCGGCGCTGTCCGAAAGGCAGGAAATTAAGCTGGTGGAGGAGGAAATTGCAGCCGTGCTGTCCGGCGAGTCGGAGGTGCTCAAGGAGCACAATGTCCTCGGGTGCGTAGCATTCAATTTCGCTCATTTCCCCGCTTCCCTCCACTCGCCACTCATGGGAGTGATTCCCCATCAACTGGCGAGCTCTTTTAACCGCTTCCATATGATAGCGTCAATTTCTATAGGATCTTCCCCAAGCCCGGAGTCTGCATGTCCAGCGATGTCCTGCGCTCGCTCAACGAGGAGGTGACCAAGACGAAGCTGGAGAAGGACAAGGAGAACCGCCAGTGGTCCACCTTCCTGCAGCGTCCCAATCGTCCGGTGCCCAAGAGCAAGCAATCGCTGGAGGCCGAAAGGCGGGCGGCCAATGCCTACAAGGTGACGATTGTCAAGTCGGCGCCTCGGGAAAAATCACCCATGGTGAGTTGGGTAGCCCTAACGTATGCTGAATGTACTCAGAGAAAAACCACCTTCAAAGCGAACATATTTCCCCAAAAACCCTGGCTAACAAGGATGCTTAGGGCTTATAAGCACTCAGAGAAAAAGTTATGCTAAAAACTAAAGCTTACTTTGGCAAGTCAAAGTTCTAACTCCTAAACCCATATTTATCGTAATTAAAATCGTATTCCAAAAACCATGTTAAATAAGATTGTATCTTGAGTTATTTGCTTTATATTTTCCTATCCATTTTTCGATCGTTTTTATGACAGCTAAATTATATAGACGTTTGATTAAAAAACAAATTTAAAACATAAAATTTAAACATTTCTAAGTAATACTGAACTACTTATTAAAATTCCTTGAATGACTTTCATTATAAATAAATATTTGAGTTAGATTACTCTAAAACGTAAGTCCTTTTTTATTATTCTATTTATTTTTGATAAAAGCTCTTTAATGAGCTTTCAAATATTTAAAAGACCATTAAAAATTAACCATACTCAAAGATAATTTTTCTCTGAGTGCATTGTTTGCTGTCGGGATCAGAAGTTAATTTGTGTTTACGTGTGACAGCCGGAAGCTAAACCGGCGCCAAAGGAGACCACACCGCCCAAAGAGGAGGAAGAAGCAGGAGGAGCCAGTTCCGGAGGAGGTGGAGTCAACCGAACCGGAGCCCGAGAAGGATGAGGAGCCACTGCCGACGGACAGCGAGGTGCCGAATTTGGAGCAACTACCGGAGAGCGAGCTGCCGGACGAGCAGCCGGAGAAAGCCGATGTGCCCAAGGAGGTTTGCGAGGCGGAGGAGGTCCAGGTCCCAACGGAGCCGGACTCTCCAGGCGCTTCCGAGGCTTCGGAGGCAACCCCTCCGGCTGAGCCCAGTACTTCGCCCAAAAGCGACGAGGAGCTGGCCCTGGAACGCCAGTTGGCTGATGTGCAAAGACAACTGGCCGCCCTCTCGTCCCTGCCCTCCACCATACAGTCGACCCTGGACGCGGTGACCAAGCAGCTGGCCGAATTGGTGCCCACCTTCAAGCTGCAGCAGCAGCAGGAGCAGGAGAAGCTCTCGCCGGAAGCTCAGCTGCCGCAAATCGATGAAAGAGCCGAGGAAGGGGAAGGGGAAGTGACCACCAACACCGCAGGCGAAACGGAGGATGCAGGTGCAAAAAACTATGCCCAGGTCGACAGTAATTAAATTTCTCTAATGGCGCACTTTTGCGTATATCCTTTCCACTAAAACCCCAAAACCCCGCCGCACTTCCCCTATCTCTTTCCCCTCTCTTTGAATGTCCTGCAGGCAAGGACATATCCATATCTGGGACTGACAACCCACTGGGGCCATGTGAGAGTAATGAGGATAGATGCGATGCCAATGACCGGGAAGTGGCGGAAATATCGCGCTCCACTGACGACAATCGCCTGGCCAAGGACAAGAAAAAGGATCTGGAGAAGGAGAAGGAGCAGGAGCCGTTGTCCGAGGAGCAGAGCTTCAAGAAGCAGAAGGTGAGTTCGCAGCCATGGCGAAATGAAATCCCTGGCAGGGCAGTTAATGTAATTAGGCTGTCATGAGTTGGGTCTACCAGGTTTTAATGGCATTAGAGCCTGGGTCGGTCGGTCGGTCGGTCTGTTTCCCTACCTGCGAGTCGGATTCGTGGCAAACTATTTAGAGCAACAGGATTAGGCGGGCCGCTTTATGGGAAATGTTTCATTGTCTGAGTGATGGGGCAGAAAAATATTCTACTACCTCTTTAATAGTGGATGTTTTTCATCTCCTAGATGATTTGCTGGGTATTAAATATTAACACTTGTTGATGGAATTTATATTAGCAAAGTTAGGGAAGGTAGAAAAGTGCAGGCTTATGAGATATATATAAAAATAGTATTACTAGATGATGGACTTTATATTGGCAAAGTTTAGGAAGAGATCAGATGCTGTCTTATTATTTTCTTATGGCTCAATATTAAATGTTATTATTTAGAAAATATTTTTGAGTAATTTTAAAAATTATTATTTAGAAAAATACATTTACTCTGAGTAATTTTAGGAACTAAATGCAAAATGACCCGATTCATTTGTTAGATGTCCTTAACGCATTACAGTCCCAAAAAATACTCAACTGCCTGATTTATTTCTATTGAGATAGCAGCTAAAGCTTTTATAAGGAGCCTTCTCGCCCAGAAACAAGAAAGAAAGACTTTCTGCAAGGCATCAAACTATTCGGTTGAGTTCCGAAGTCAGTTTTTATCCCGACATGCTCGGAGCCATATTATCCAGCTGCGGGCAGCTGGACCTTCTCTCCATCTCGAGCTTTTGCGGATCTGACCCCCTTTCCTTCCTCCCCCCCCCCCCATCCTGTCTTCGCCTCAACGTCCGTGTCCACAAATCAAATTAACTAAAATGCCATTTGGTTTTTGTCTTTTTCTACTTGCAGCATAATGTGCGCTTCCAAACGTAGTTAGTTAGCTTTAATCGAGTTTAAATTTTGATAAATTGCCAACAGCAAGTTATTTGTAGCGTTGTGCCCAAGATGGTTCTCTAGTTGAATAACGAATAAAGCCCTGGCAGCGGCAGGGGAAAAATGCAGAAACCAAAAGACAATTAGTAGGCACCAAGTGGAAAGCCCTTCAACATTGTTTCGTCTCTTTTTCCCTAACCCACCCTCCCCCCTTAACCATGGCCCTCATCTTTTTTTTACCCCCTGGGCGTGTGCACTTTCCGCCCGTCTGTTTGGTTTTGCTAGAGACACGATGTCATTGAGGAGCTCGAGGAGCATTTGGTGCGCAAAAACAATCCCCGGCGGTCGAAGCGGGCCTTTGGGCCATTGGTCCCATCCTCGGAGCGTCCTTTGGTCCTTCCGGGCGGTCGGCGTTGGTACCGTCCCAAGGATGCCTACAACGATGAGTTCATTGCCGAGACCCTGAGCGCCCAGGCGGAGCTCATCACGGGCAGCACTCTCGGGTGGGTAGATCCCCATCCCCCAGCACCACATCTATTCCCACTATACAAACCCCCCTGATTATTGCGGCTAGTTGGCAATGTTTGGCCATGTTTGCCGTGGTCAGGCTCTCATCTCATCTCATGTCATCGCTCTGCTTTGCCCACAGAGCAAACACTCGCACCGAGAAAAAGAAAACACCAAAATATCTATCTATCTAACATTTAAAGCAAATCCATTTTCTAGGTATTTAAAAATAATAGAAAGCTTGACAGCACCCTTTTGGGAAATAGTAGAAGGACTATTGTTTTTAATTTTGTAAAGATTTCTCTGACGGCCAGAATAATAAAAGGAAAATGCTACTGAAGAGAAAAGAAACATTTTATGGAAATTGATTTGTGTGTTTTACATTTTACAATTTCTTTAATTAAATTCCTTTAAAGATTGAGCACTTAAAAAAGATTTCTTGCGTCATAAAACTATCCATCCATTTTCTAAATTTCAAATAACTAACAAATAATAGATATATACTTTTGGTGATTATTTTGCTCAGTGCTCCCGCAGACACTCCACTGAAAAGCATAACGTTAGCTCATCCCAGGCATTCATTTTCTTCACTTCTTCACTTTTCCATGGCCACTCGCCTCGACTCCTTACATCGTCCACTGCACCATAAATTTGCGCATTAGCAGCTGCCCATACGAAAGTCCATTGCTGGGCTACGATTCCAGGTAGTGTTTCATTTGGTTTCGCCTGATGAAGTGCCCCGGATGCTATGTACCAGAAACCCCATGTATACGTAGCACCTAGCACTCTCATTATGATTATCGTTGGCATTATCGTTAGCATTACGAGACCCATTGTGCATTGCCATACTCATCCCGATTCGCATTCGCATTCGCATTCGCCTTTTCATCCGTCTGTATGCTCTGTGTGTCCTGTCACAAGGCCTGCAGTTGATTTGACTTTCCTCCTGCGTTCCGGTTGAGTTCTTTATGCATGCCGCCTTTGCTCTTGGATATCTTTTCTCCTCGCTCTTTGCCTCTTGATTTTCATTGTAGATTGCATTTTGGAATCGTTTGTTCAATGGCGAGCATATAACACGCCAGCGCTTCAGGTAAGTTTTTTTCTCCTGAACCCCAATTCCCCAATTCCGAATCCCGAACTTCCCTCACTTCTCGACTCTTTAATGAGGCTAACAACTTTTCTTTGCTTTTGCTGTGTGTATTTGCCCGCCCTTGTCTTGTACTTAACCAATGGGGGAAAACGGACTGCTCTCGACGGTCCCTCGACTCGATTCGCCAGGGAGCTGCAGGGTCTCGGCCTGACCATGCAAAAGTAAGTTGTCACATTGGACGTTTTCTTATGTTCTCCGGTTCATTGCATGCATATGTTTGTGCGCTGCCTCCCCGTTTTTCCCCCGGGAGGAGCACTGCATTCCACTCGATACCATACCATGGCCATACCATGGCGTTTCATTCCCCAGTTGCAGCAATCGCAATTCCAATTTAACAGCGGCTCCTTGGCCATTCGCAGGGTCAACTTCATGAAGTACCAGAAGCCGGAGCGCAAAATCGATCTGAATCGCAGCGAGGTGTACAAGTATCTCAATCCGCATCTGGACAGGGCGCCCGTGCGTGGCATCGAGGTGCGTGCTCCGCTGGTGGCCGCCGAGTCCGATATTCGCCAGTCACTGCAATCGTAGGAGTGCTCCAGCAACACCCACCCACCCCAATCTCAAGCCAATCCCATGGCTACACGGAGAAAAAGAAGCTGTACCATTAGGAAAAGTACTAGGATTCGGCAGAGAAGCGATTAGGGATGTTAAGCCTATTAGCAACTCCCAAAATTGGATTTAAATAAGTTATTATTTAAATTGAATCTCTGATTTTAGTTACATTGTTGGCAACATTAAAAGAAGATTATTTTTTTTGGGATACTACAAAATATTTAATCCTGATTTAATAATACATTTTCAAAATCAATAAAATAAATTCAACTGTCTACTTTGTGTGTACTTTGACGTAGCCAATTTCTGTAGTATTTGCTCAAGTCAAGATTTATTTTTTTGCCATGAATTAATAGCCAATCAATCATCACATAAGAATGGATATAAATAATAAATGAGATAAGTGCAGGGTGGACGTAAGCAGAGAATAATAATTGCGGCTTTAATATGTCCCCTGCGAAATGCTAAAACTAAATTTAAAACCATTTTATCCCGACTTTAAAACGCTTCTCTGCTGACTTTTAGTACGCTTAATAAACAACATGTCCTAGAATAGAGAAATACATTTCTGTTAAAATATACAAAACCATATGTTAAGAAAGCTTCAGTTTGTTTTGGAGAGGTCGAGATTGAATTGATGTGCTCATTGAACTCCTAGGATGCAGAAGCGAATATTTAAATTGATACCCAAATTGGCTTCGATAATCGCTTAAGAAGCTCAGCGAGTAAAAACATCGCAACCATCAATATGCCAACAGAAGCAGAAGCCGAGTACGCTGCCATTGTCGAGCGGGGTCGCCTAATGCGATATTACATAATTTGTGTGCAACAAGGCGTATGTGTAATGTGTCGTGCATTTCTGTAGCATATCCTCAGGCGCTGGCTGTTGCAATTTTCTTTCGCACAAACACAACGCGCTGCCTTTGAGAGTGTGTGTGCTTATGTGTGTTTGCGTATGTTTTTGTGTGCTGTGTGTGGGTGACAAGCTCTTCGAATTTGCATTTATTATGGCAAATGAATTGGGTGGCAACAAAAAAGTGGCAAATGACATGGCAAAATGGCAAATGGCAAACTGGCAGCAGTAGCAGCTCGAGAACCACAATAAACCCGTATTTAGTTACGGCACAAACACTCGCGCCACAGCCAAATCAAAATTGTTGTCACGTTATGATGGAAACCGGGACGAGCGGATGCGATGCGCACATTTCACTTGCCCCACAGACAAAACACATTGCTTGCAGAGCAGCCGGAATGATGAGACACTTTTCTTTTCGCCGGAGCAATAAAAACGCGCCAACTTAATGCGGATGTACAGGAAAGTACGGAGTACGACTACGGCTCTTCGCGTATTTTCGGGACTTTGGAGATTCTACAAATCCCGGAGTCGTTATCCCGAGGAGTGCGATGCTCATGGACGCTCGTCTTGGACTGTCAGAGGCGACTTGTCCTTATCATTGCACTGGCCACAGGCTGCGCTTCGAGTCGAGTTCGGGGATTCTTTGGGACAGCTTTTCGAGTGGCAAACAGCTTTTGAGCGCTTTTCCGAGAGTCTTTCCCCGTTGAGCTTTGAGCCGAAAATTCCCCCATGAGCGAGCGTCCAGCTCCGGGGGGCAAACCACTCGAGGTTGGGGCAGGGCAGGTCCTTTCGGGTCGCGAAAGGTGAAAATGCCGGAATGTCGGAAATAAAATTAAGATTTGTTCAACTTGTTGGCTAAAAGTTTGACTCGGCTAATTTGTATGCTTAATTGCCAAGCGCCATTTACACTAAGCTACGGGAAACGCTTTGAAGTCCCTAATTCGATTGGAATGGTTTAAAAGGGTTTAGTTTGCCATATAATTGGATAGCATTTATAATTCTCCCAGCCTTAAAATTAGATGTTAATTGCCCTGAGGAAATCTATGAAACGGAAGAAGAAAAAAATATACCTACAAGAAGTGAATATGTGATAAGAAAGTTTTACCGTTTTCAAAGTAATCTAATTTTAATATTTGACAAAATACCCCTTTTAATTTTCATTTTCATATCTCAGTGGAGAAAATCCTATCCCCACATAAACATCAGTCGAAAAGTAAAACAACTATTTTTAGTTTTAAATTTTATTTGAATTGGAATAAACAATACTAGACAACAACTACTTAGAAGTAAGTACAAGTTCATACATACAAGTTACATAAAAATAGTTTGGGTTAGGCTCTCAGCTCCGAACGAATAATCTTTGAACTTACTAAACAGTATATGCGGGTGTATATATATAACATAGTCATGTATAAGTACAATGTGTGTTTTGTGTGGACTTATTTGTGTGTTTCATGTGTTTCAATTATCTACAGCGGCCACTTCAGGCGCGGAGAATTCACTTTAAAAGACAACTCCGGCTGAAGAGCTTACAACGATTTTGTTATAAACAATTGTTCGTTCGATCTAAGAGGGGGGTTTTTGTGTGTGTTTGACACTAATTATCACTACGCCAGTTGAAGGTAAATAGTTTATGGGGCTCTCTTAGTTTTCCACGCTGGGATTGCTTCGATTTGATAGGTCTAAGCCAAGTTTATAATAGTTTTGTGTATATGCAAATGCAATTATTGCTAATAATACATGCGAACTTCCAACTGAATAAATAATTTGTTCCTCTCGTTGGTTTTCTTTGTGTGTGATGCAAATTTGTGACTCTCCTCCTTTCCGTCGGAAGGATATTTGTCTAGTCCTGACAAGTCAGAGGTAACGATTTCCAACTTGTTAAACCATCAACTGATTCTGTTGGCCTCAAAAATATGCTTTTGTTCTCTGCTCCTCCAAGTCAATCTGGCTAATAATCTAATTTGTCTCTTGATTTCAGTTGCAATTTAGGTACACGATTCCGCCTTCTTCTGCAGCTCAATTCGCCTACAAAATCACAAGGTGCATACCCCGCATATATTATACAAATATGTATATCGCATATATATATGCCCTGGGTAGTTCAGGTGTGTGTTTGCGGCTTTTGTCTCTAAATACTAATTGCAGGTAGTTCGTTAACGCTTTCACACCAGAATTTCGCAACAAATATATCGTATTTATGTTTGTATTGTTTTAGTTTTGTTTTTCTTTGCTTTTGCTATTGTTATTTTCTTGTTTTTGGGGCCATCGTAAAACGTGGCTTGGCTTTAATACTTTCAATCTAACACTAATTAAGTTCCAAACGAACCAATCCTAGGCTGGTATGTTGGTTTGTTCATAGAAATCGGGCTCATCGTCGTCGTTCTTCTTCATCTCGCTGCCATCCAACTGGAAAATAATTAAATGCGAATTAATTAAACTTGTTAACTTAAGATTTAAGTTGCAATATATTACCGCTTGCATTTCCTCCGGCTTATAGAGCTTCGTCAGGTTTTGCCGAATGGGCACCATCATGATCAGGAAGAAGGGGAAGGCCAGCGAGAACTGGGATGACTTGACGGTCCACAGGAGTACGAGGCACAGCACCTGGATGGTGGTAAACAGATGCAGCTTCCAGGGACGCAAACGCTTCACATAAGGCGTGGGAGGATAATGCTTGACCGGCATGAAATACAGTCTTATTCTGTGGCATAAAATAAATAGATAAATTATAAGATTCTTGAAATTTGAAGTCTAAAATCCTACCGCTCGAATAGCTGCACTCCACTCATGGAGGCCACACCCATGTACAGAAAGACTCCGAAGAGCACGGCCATGGGAATGAGTCGCAGGAGCGGAGACATCAGCACCGAGAGACCAATCATCAGGCAGACAAAGAATCCAGACAGGCGCTGCTCCTTCACATCAACGATCCTGGGCGACTCACCAGGGGCATGGGTGCTGATTAAACAAATTTATTTATATTAGTAATCTATATTTTTTGGAATAAAACTCCAAACTCCAAGCTCACCGTGACATAATGGTGACGGAGGACACGTGGGTCACCGATCTCACAGTGGCGGCACAATGCCAGGGCATCCCAAACAGTCCGCATGCGCAGTTGAGCAGGCACAGCAGCACAATGTCCCAATGGAGGCCGGAACCCTTCTTCAATCCACGATCCGGCTTGTCCACAATCAGCTCGGAGATCTGCGACTCCATGAAGATCAGAATGTAGACGAGCAGGGCGGGCACCACACAGGCGAAGGGAATCCAAGTGGAGGAGGTATCGAAGCCGATGTACCAGCCCCGTTTCGAGGGATCGCTGGGCGACAGGCCCTCCGGAACCACCAGCTTCTCCGTGTACACAGCCGGCACCATGTAGTCGACCAGCACGAAAATGGCAATGGAGATGGGCACCCCAAAGTCACCGAGTGCCCGACGAGCATTGCGGCCCAGAAAGTGTGAGTTGCGGAAGAGCTTCAGGTAGTAGGCGACCACGAAGGTGGCCAGCGTGAGGATGGTGCAGAATAGAGCCGTGTTGGGCTGATTCTTTGGCAAGGGTTGCGGACCCATCGGCATGGCCGTCGTCGAGATGTTCGAGAAGACCAGCTGGGTAAGGTTTGCTGCCACACCAGCGGTCGCATTGAAGAGGCTTCCATTGGTGGCATGATCGTGGGCAACCAGCGTCGGTGGGGGCAAATTATAATCAGCCAGCAGGGGGTTCTCCTTGTAGATCGAAATCAGTTTCATAAACGTCTCCACAATATAGATGAGCGTGATCAGCGCCGAGAAGATCTCCTGGGTGAATCTCGTCAGCAGGCGCACATACACACTGCCCTCGAAGGCGGAGACCGTCAGTGCGATTATAATTAGCCACACACCGACATATACCCTCAACGCCAGGAAATCGAATTCATTTTTCGTACAAAACACCATGAGAGCCTCGTCGAAGAGCAGCAGCGGTCCCGTGGTGCCGATAATCACGAGTGGCTGGCAGGACAGACAATGGAAGACAATGCCCACCAGCGAGCACGAGATCAGCGTCTCCGAGATGCCAATCCAGCTGTTCGTCTTGGCGGAAACGAGACCTCCGAACGTGATGGCGGTCGAGAGGCAGGCAAAGTACATAAAGATGGTGGCCGCCAGGGTTTCCGTGTTTAGGCCATCCAGGATGTCGCTCTTGTACATGGGCATTCGACGCTTCAGATCGTTCCGCAGTCCACCCCACAGGCGTCCGGTCTTCTCCAGTGGACCAGGCTTCTTCTTCTTGCCTCCATCATCATCATCCGATCCTCCATCTCCGCCGCCATCGCCTCCGCCAATCGTGAATCCAATGGCTCCCAGCGTTTGCTTCTCCAGCAACGCCTTCTCCTCATCCTTGCCGATCTTGATCATCTCGCTGTCTCGCTTCACCTGCAGCGCCTTGATCTTTCGCGTGCGGATCCAATCCTTCTTGGCCTTCAACTCCTCGAAGGGCAAGAGGTCGTGGCGATCCCAATTGCCGGGCGGCAGGACAATAGAATCATCGAGGAACTCATTGATGGCCGACAGCAAATCCTTGCGATCGTCAGCCTTGTAGGCAATCGAGTGGAAGTGCTCGTTGGCCATCAGCGTGGAAATGGAACGACCCACTTCATGGTAGTCCAGGTCAAAGTTACGCGGTCCCAGGAGCACAAACATGAATCTTACCGGGACAGGAACCTCTGTCAGTGTGGGCATAAGGACACCCTCCGACAAACGGACAAAGGCAATGGTGGGCTGCTCCAGGAACTCCACGGCACCAACCTTGGGAAGAGAAAATCATTTATAAATACGAGGGTTCATAGTATAACCAGAGACTTCTACGTACCAGCACAGTGGTGGCCTCAGCACCCGCTGGAATCCTCTTGAGGATCGTGTCATTCTGCAGCTTCTTGAGATCCTCCTGCGACGAGGAGTACATGTCGTCCTTCATGTCGATCTTCAGCTCATTGCTGCGCTTGCTGCCTCCAATCTCGTTGGCCGGCATGATCTTGATCTTTTTATCATCCGTGCCACCAGACAGGTTCTGTGGAATATTTCGTTAAATGTTAATTAAACTGCTACCAAAAGGATTGCATTATTCACTGGGGAACATCAAGCAAGCTTCACATGCAAAGCTGGTGCCAAAACACTGAACACAAGATATTTATATTGTAAAGGTCGTGCAACTGAACTAAATCGGTATATATAGTAGAACAGAGTGCGGTCTAGTCAGCAGAAGAGTTTAGAGTAGCGAGTGGAAGGGATCTAAGGTACTTGAACAACACAATCACAATCACAATTGAGAACTTGCCAATCGTGGAGGTGGAGAGCACACATAAAAACAGTGGATCTAAAGGGGGAGAAGGGCTACGGAACTGGGCTAAAACGTGGTGGGGCTAAAAAGAAACATCGCGAGTTCTATAAGCGCAGTTCGGCTGCTTTTGCACCAGGGAATGAAACATTATAATGATACTTCTTACAGAAAAGTACATTTTTAACATTTATTTAAAGCTTTATAAATATTATTCTACATCAACTTATTTTATTCAAAGTGACCGATGTAATAATTTATAAGACCTAGTCTTGCCGCATAGGGATAAAACCAACAAATAAATTAAATATTTTATTGAATCTAATCTCTCAAGAGATGGAATTTTTTTTTTTCATAATGATATTTTGATCTAATAACATTTCCAATTTTTGACCTATAATAAAGAGGCTACAGTATATTGGATAAAGAATTTAAACTGCTGATCATATAATGATTTAAACAGAGAATTTTTAAAGATTCGTTTCATTCCCTGGCTCTAGGAGCGGGGTACGCGGGGAGGAGTGCTTTTAGGGGGTTCTAGTTTATTACACCCAGGTAGGACATCGTGGAGTGGCGACGGTGATCAATCGCTGCCGCTGCTGCGGTGGCCGTGGCCACGTTCAGCATCGCCGCCGTGGGCGGAGCACTGGAGGTGACGCAGATGCTCCGCCTGGCCTTGGCCAAGTTGCGAGGTGGCTGCTGAGCCTGCTGCTGCTGGAACTGCTGGTGGGACGAGTCCGCACCCATCCAAAGAAACTGTTGTTTTCGGGGTGCAAGAGGAGTTTGTGTTTTTTTTCGGTTTTTGTTTGTGGCGAAAAAAAATCAGTAAACGTACAGAAAAGAAAGAATTTCAAGAGATACACAAAGCGGCGTTTTATAAGATATCTGTACGATCATGTCTATATACAATTTGGCTATTCATTACCGATTTGGGAATAAGTTGCTGTTGTTG